AAAAAAAGACACAAGACCTTCAGAAGGTCCCTTTAATTTATTTATGGAGCTGCACTCTACATAATATCATTAAACTTTGAAAGGGTTTGGACAAACAGCTCTGCATCTTACACAACACTTTTATCTTTACCTGTAAGACATTAGTTTGTTCCAGGTTGCTCACTAGGCAAGTAAGGGTTTTTTTTGTTTGTTTGGTTGGTTGGTTGGTTGGTTTTTGTTTTGTTTTGTTTTGTTTTGTTTTTAGTTCAGCCATAAGGCAAATTGCTGTTATCTATTTGAAAAAATGGTACTTCTGTTTATAGTGAAGCATTAATAGTACTTGTTAAAAACGAGCTTAATTTGGCATTACAGTGGTCGAGCAAACTTGCTCTCACAATAATTTAAAAGTTGAATTTATGTCAAGAAGTATGGTTACAGCTACAGTGCTAATAACTCAAGTGTTAGCACTCATGACATAGAAAATATTCGGGTGGTAACTGTGGCTAGGAAAACTTTCTGCCCTCATTCTCCCCTTAGCATGTGGACTTGAGCAGCTCCTTGCTCAGAGGCTCTGGGAGCTGCCCCTGCTGGGAGGTCAGAGCTGCTTTAAGCTGGGGCACATTTAATCTAGTGGGGATACGGAGTCAAGACATGCACGTTGACAATGACCAATGAATGTCCATGGCAGGTGGTTGATAGGTCTTCTGCGGCTTTCCATGGAAACAGGCTAGAGTAAGCAAAGTCTTGTGCAAGGGAATTGGAAAGAGTCCTATATCCCATAACCATGGGTAGCTGAAGGCAAAGGCTGGTGGGGACAAAAGTAACATCATATTTTTCTGTAGCTCAGAGCATGAGGATGTTAGTCTGAATCTGTATGTCTGGGTGTCGATCACTTGGATAAAGCTGGCATGGCAGATGTACCTTGAGCAGCTGTGTGACAGTCACACTTGGGCATCTGTCAGGCTCTTGCCCCTCTCGTTCTTTAAACCATAAGAATGAACCTGCAGATTCTTTCATAGCACAAAACAGCTTCAGAGAAGGGACAATGTGCCTGTGCTCTGCTTTCAAAACCCTTCCTTCTCCCTGAACAACTTGAAAATAACGATTTCCAAATCAGAGGCTGGATCAGAAAAAAGGCAGTGATTTGTTTGGTAGTGAGCCTGAGGGAAGACAGGGAGAGATGGTGGCACAAATGTTGGCATCCAGATCTAAGGCACACTGTTAGCTGACTTCTAGAACATTTGTCATTTGTTTTTGACTCATTCAAATGAACAGCATCCAAGTATGTTTTTTTTGAATTGACAAATGACAAGAAATTAGGTGGCTGCATTTCTGATTTCTCCTCCTAATATGCAAGGGCTCCCCTTCCCCCTGCTGCTCAGCAGAAGTAAACAATATTCCCTGGGACAAAATTTAGCTTTCCTCTAGCTCTTCATAACATTTAGCTCATGTTAGTTAATGCCATTAGTCAGAGATCTCCAATTTAAGTGTCATAAAATGCTAATTATAATGAGGCGCTTGATGTCTCTCCCCGGGTGTAACATCTCAGGATGCTGCTGAAGTCCTATTGGACAAGAGTTACCGGGACAGAATGAGGAAGGTGTTTTGCTGTGCTGTAGAGGTTAATTAGAAAACTTCTCATATTATCGGTGAACCTAATTAATTTCACAACTTTAGAAGAGAGTCCTGATTACATCTGGAAAATAGCTGATAGCCCCGATAGCAAATTATGGATAATTTGATACAAGACCACTGTAGTTTGTGGTTACATGGCAACAGCACATTTTGCTGACTTTTAAGTAAGAGTAATGACTACGACCTGGGCAAAGAGAGCTGTGCAGAATGTCCAGGGGGCAGAAAGTGCCTTGTTCTGGTCTTTTAGGAGGAAATCCTGATGATTTCAGGGAGTAAAGAGAAACTGGTTTTGTTATTTGAGCCAGGTTCTACTGACTGCATATGATTGACTCCAAGCCTGGACAGATATTCTCTCCACTTGAATACGTCTTTTACCAGAGCATAACAATCAATTAACAATCAATTAACAATCGACCTCATCGCAGTCTACAACTTCCTAGTAAGGGGGTGTCGAGAGGCAGGAGACCTTTTCTCCATTAACACCAGTGACAGGACCCGCGGGAACGGGGTTAAGCTGAGGCAGGGGAAATTTAGGCTTGACATCAGGAGGGGGTTCTTCACAGAGAGGGTGGTTGCACACTGGAACGGGCTCCCCAGGGAAGTGGTCACTGCACCGAGCCTGATTGAATTTAAGAAGAGATTGGACTGTGCACTTAGTCACATGGTCTGAACTTTTGGGTAGACCTGTGCGGTGTCAAGAGTTGGACTTGATGATCCTTAAGGGTCCCTTCCAACTCAGGATATTCTATGATTCTATGAAAAGAGGATGTTGCCATGGAACACATACTGGTTGTGCCCCATTTCCACTAAGCATGTCATATCTAAAGACTGCCTTCCCACAGATACTGTTGTGTCCAAACTTACTTGCTTGACATATGCTTAAACTCTATCACACAGTACTAATAGTCTGCATTCTTTATTCTTTCTGTGGATTTATAAATAAATAGTTCTAGTCATTGCAGCCATAGACTTACAAGAACTCAAAGATAACGCAGTTTTCAACCACAGCTCTACACCTGCCCTTTGTGAAGATGTATTTAAAAAGCAATCTTCCCACCAGCTGCTGGGCTGGTGATAGATGGGATTGAATTAGTAAGGCAGATAGATAGATTCAAGCTGACATCCTTGTTGAATCAGCTGCTGGAGCTGGAGGTTACTGGAAATCCTTAAGGGCACATGTGCGCATATGCAAAACCATCAAGAAAAAGAGCAATATAAAGAAAGATTGTGTCTTTGTTAGAGGCCAGAGCTTGTCCCAAAGATTAGGCTTACTGGAACTACTGGCTGAAAGCCCTCCTCAGCTAGACATGGGTTTTGTGTTGTTGTAACTCCTTCCTTCCTGAACATTTATTAATTCTTGCACTTTAACATCATATGTACTTTATTACATCTGGTTTATCATCAGCCTGCTATATCAGCCTATGGAGAGTGACTGGGAGGCTGGCAGAGCTTCCCAGGAATTTGTCAATGCTGGGAAGTCCCACTGAGGTTTTTGGGGCATTCCTCTGCTGACCTGCCAAGTCCGATCTGGATTCTGGTAGCACAATGCAGGGAAACATAGCCTCCTGGGCACGTGCTACCCCCAGCCTCTCAGGCACACAGCTGGGCAGTTGGCAGAACGTCTGAGACTTCTCCATGTTCTTCTGAGATTATATATGAGTTTCTGGCTGCCTCACATACAGAGGCCAGGAAGGAAAAATGAAGATGAGAGCTTGCCCACACCAGAGGGAGTTTGTTAGCACACTTTTCCAGAGAACCTCTGTTAAAACAACACTGATTTTTTTTTCATTCTTATATTATAAAGTAATTCGTTTTAGCTGTGTTGGCAATTACAACTTTTTTGCCAAATGGAGCTTGTGTCTAGAGCTTTTGGCATTACAAGAATGTCAGGCAGGGAATGAGAAAGAAATCATAGCTGTGCTGACAGTACCTTTCAACGCTGGTGAGCAATGCCTGCGATCACACACAGAGATGGGAGATGAGTAAGAGACTTGAGGCCACATTCTGCTCCAGCTATGCAGAGATGGTTGAAGAAAAATCAAGTAGAGCACATTGCTCAAGAAAGTCTCTCAGAGCTGTGGGATGTTGGATATGTGCCCCTATTCTTTGGGAAAGTAATAACATTAATCCATGGATACGAGAAAGGAAGGCATATACTCTTCTGAAAAAAAGGCCTCTTTTCATTACTTTTTATTTTTTATTTTCTCTTCCCTGTTTATTTGTTTGTTTCTTCAGTCCAGGGGAAATCTTGCAATGTAGCTTGGTGGACATGTCACACATTTAAATAAATCAAAAGATGAAAAGTCAGTTCTTGCAAAACACAAAAAGAGTTGCTTAAGAGAACTGACCTGTTATTGCAAATGGTCTGACCATAGATGTACAGTTTTACAAGTGCTTCCATGTCTCTACAGATCAGGAGTTTGCAGCAGATTGTGTCCTGCCCCATCAAACTTGTACTCTGTTAGTAGAGTTAGGTGGTGTAAAACAATTTCTGTTAGGAGGCTTTGGCGAGCAGAATGCCCAGCCACTCTGCACCTGGCAGCCTTGGCCTAAATATTTGTGATAGATAGAATTTTGATCTAGAAAATTTGAAATGTTCAGGTTTGTTTGTGCACACACTATGCCCTGGAGTATCTCATGCCCTTTCTCACCAAAATCCATAGATGCTGAAATTCTGCTCATGATTGCCTTGCTGACATAATATTCCTGTTTGCTCTCTCCCTGCAGGTACCTGAAGAAAAAGTTATTAGTCTTTTCAAAAGAGGCTTCAGTTTACCTGTCTGATTTTCCTTTAAGCCATTGTAAGCAGTTAATTGTTGGGTATGACTTTTTTTTTTTTTTCTTCCCCATATTTATACCAGTTTGCAAGCTTACCTTTAAGGCATAGTTTGAATTTTGTGAGTAGAACTCCAATAAAACACTATCATTAATACATTCTTTTCGATGTTCAACTATCTTGATTATAAAGCATAGTTAGTTTTTGATTCAGTTTCTAAAAATCTGACTTTTCTGTGTCCTACTATCAAGTACTGAAGTGTCTGTGATCATGCTGAGCTGAAGGATTGCTCTCACAACCATAATATGTTCAGGAAAGCATCCAAAAGGAGCTGAGATCTGCCCACATACAGAGGGTTAATTTCCCTTTAATGTGTAGTTAGTGGAGAGTATTTCTGTAAACACAAAAGGAAACCAAACATGTAGATGTTTGTGGACCAGATCCTTAATTTATGGAAATCACTGCTATCCAGCTGAAGTCGGTGAAGCTATGACAGCTTATTCCCTGCAGTAGATCTGCCCATTGGCTTCTGCAAATATGTGTTTGTGTGGGCAATGTGGGACAAGTTGAATATGGTCATCAACATTGACTAATGTCCTTCCAGGGTAATGTCCTTCCATGGGAATAGAATACCAGCCTCAAAAACATCACTTTTGCAAACTGTGTTCTGCATAGGAATTGGTTTCTTTGTGGCCATGAAATACAGTCATGCTACAGCCTGCACACAGAAAGACATTGCTTACAAATTATGAGAAGATCTCAAACTGAATGAGTGGTAAGACTATTTCCTGAGAGGAGCATTCTGATCAAACCAGAATATGTCTAAAAACTTCAGCATGCAGGTAAGAATATCACATCTGGTCCTACCTTTCTAGGTGTTAAGCACTGAAGGCCCCATTAGACCTTCAGAAGACCCTCCAGGTCTTGTTGATTCAGACCTCTTACAGGCACACTAGTAAATAGGTTGAGGAAAGATTTCAGAATTCTTGACCATCTCCACATCTTTTCATGGATTAACTGTTACTGCTGCTTTTTCAATTTGCAGCAGATTACCAGCAGAGAGAAAGAGGGAGAGAAAGAAAAGAAAAAAAAAATAAAAATCACAGAATAATCTTTATTTGCACACCAAAACAACTTAAGTTCAATTTGCAAAGAAAAAAAAAATTGCAATCCTTTATTCAAAGTACTTTTCTCCTATCCATTTTCGAAGTATAGGAAGAAGATTCATGAGAGACATTAAAAGCAGAAACAGTGAACCACTGGGATAGATTGTGTTGAGAGGCTGTGGAGTCCCCATTACTAGTGTTTGATGTTTGTCTTATCTCACCTAAGATAAGACAAACATTCATAGGGAATGACATAGATGGTGTTTTTGCCCTAAGAAAAGGAATAGCTGGCCTCTTGAAGTCTCTTCCAGACTTCTGCCTTCTTCCCCTCCCTTTTCCTTGTGATTTATGGCTCCTTGGGGTTTCTGCCTGCCCTCTTCTATTTTCTTGACAGCATATTATGGAGGACTTGCACGTAATTGTTGACTACTTGAGTGCAATAAGCTGTTTTTGATTTTCTTTGATTTTCTGACTGCATTTGGTTAAATATCTGAAATAGCATGTGACCTTGTTAAACCACACTCCAGTAAACTGTAGATAAAGAATATAATTTTGTACTTAGAGTTTGGCAAAGGACAAACTGATCCCATGCCACTGTCCCGCCAAGGAAAGATGTGGTACGCTTGAGGTGAAGGTCCTTGGAGCTCACTCAGAGGCCTCAGAGATGCTTCCTGTGCCACTAAGTATATGGGGCTGGATCACAGGGAGGGTATTAATGACAGGGTTGTTTGGGTGGTCTTCTCTGTTACTAGGCCTGGCTAGTTGGCAGACTATGCCAATCCTCAGTCAGCAAACAACGAAGGGAAAAAGAAGGGACAGCACTTCTTTCCATGGTAGGTGAACCATGCATTTCACTCTGCCCCAGAGCCTGCTTGAAGCTAAGTTTCTGATGAGTCTTAAAGCCAAAGGGACTGCTGCGGCCTCCTGTCATGTTAGAAAGGTAAGATCCATTCTCCAAAGAAGTGTTGTGTATGAAGATCTTAGAATGCCTTTTCCTGAATAATTTTACAAGACTTTCAGAGTAAAACTTGAGGGTTATTCTCTCTTTTATGTGTATGGGCTTGCATGTGTGTAAATACGCCCTTAGGTAAGGAGCACTCCAGGCCAGGGCTTGGTGCTGCCACTCTTACGCAGTCCTCTGACATTGTCTAAAGCATTTGCCACAGATAAAGCAAGAAGGCCTCAGGAGGGTGTATAGATCTTGACCCCTTGCTACCTTCACACCGCCTCACATGGCATTACTCCTGATAAGAAAACATCTCACTGCAGCCACAAGTGACATGCGTCTTTGCTGTAAGCAGTAGTGCGATCAGCCTGTGACAAGGTTTTTCTGCAGTCAGCACAGGTGGAGGAGGTCAGCTTAGAAACCCTTCTATTACCTGACCTCCCTCCCCTTGTGCCCGGAGCACCTATTGATAGCAACAGATACAGGCTTAACAGCATGGGCACCCGGGTTTAAGACAGTTGACAGCCCTGCGTGTTGGATTTCCTATCACAAAACTGACCTTACGAATCAGCTACAGAAAAAAATAAATAATAAAAAAAAAAATAGAGTTAAAGTGGAAAAAAGGAGACTTCGGTGCGGTGAAGGTTTATATTTATATCTGGCTGCCGTGAAGGAACCAGTGCCTGAAGCTGTCAGTTGAACGGTTGCACTCGCTGAGACCAAGTGTCAACGTCTGTGCAGGGGGGGTTATTTTTCTGCCAGTACAGACCAGGGCTCCCCTATAATTAGAGGTGGCATGGGGTGAGGTCCTGCCACAATCATGAGTTCACTCTGGCTCCTCACTCAAAAATAGGATTTGGGGAAGCGGGGAGGTGCGTGGGGGTATATCGCCAGTTCTCGTTTTTTGCACAAGATGCACCTAACAGAGGAGCACAGGGCATGATTGATATCTGCTTGAAGCAAGCTGGGTTTTATTTTTTTTTCTGTCCTTAACCAGACCTGAAAAGCAGTCCCAGGCTGTGGCTTCAGCAACCGGCAGCGTGAGGCCAGCTGAGTTGTGTGGACTCCCACAAAGGGTGTCTTGCTTCCGGCAGATGTCCCAGATACCAGGCCATTTGATCCCACCACAAAAATAGTTGCGTAAAATATTGTGCGTTGGCTCTGGCCTGACAGCGATGGGACTGTTCCGCTTCGCTGGGCTGGTGGAAACATCCAGCGGGGCTGTGGCTCCTGTCCAGCAAACCTTCTCCCTCCATGGGGCAGCGAAGCGCCTCTGCAAGAACGAGAAAGGGAAGGCACCGGGGAGCTCTCCCTTCCTTTCTGCAAGTCAGGCTTTTAAAAACGGGCACATACTTTCCTAGCTGAGTGCTCGCACCTAGGTTTGTTGCCAGGAGGGATGGAAGAGAGAGTGCCGCATAGCCTAAGGCCCCTGGCACATTTCAGGATTGTTGCTATGCCTTCAGGAAAATACGGACCGCCAGCCAAATCCTCAGCTGGTGCTGACTGGCACAGACCTGCTATCTGCAGCACGGGGAGGCCGATTCGCACCTGCTGAGAGTCTGGCCCAGGAGAAAAAGCATAAAAGAAGCAGGTCCTTTTGCACTGTGCTTCACAAGGTGTTGAGGAACCCCCACCCAGAGCTGAGACTGCTGCTGGTCTTCACAGTGTCGCTGGGAGCAGGGCTGCGAGTCTGCAGAATTTTAAGCCGCAGTGAATGCTATTGATGGCTGCACACATATATTTCTCAAAATAAAAATCATGCCACAAATCATCCCAATTCCACAAAATAATCCCACATGGGCAGTGAAATCATGCAAGAATCCTGCTTCCGAAGACAAAATGTTCTTAGCCAGAAGAGGTTTTCTGTTTTGTTCTGTGGTTTCAGACCTATCTGAAAACTGGCTCTGCTCGCCTTGTCCTTCATCCTGGTTTTATGGGACAAGTACTGTCAAAATGAGCTGTGAAAAGGGCACCACATCCAGAGAAGCGACAAATGGATACAAGCACCAGTGAACTGGTGGGAGCACAGCCCTGTAGTCTCAGCCACTGCCTGTGACAAGGCCTTGCAGGCAGCGTGGAGTAAATTAACTCTCCTTGGAAAGTTCAGGCATGCTGCAGCCACATGGGCATGCAGAACCCAAACTTGTCTCCATCACCATGTACTGAGAAGTGTACTTGAGATGTGCAGACTATGCAAAACAGGTGTCAGCTCTTCCAACCCAAGCTAGAAAACATTGCTGTTACTTATGTCAAATATGAGTTCAAGCTGGAAACCTGAAAAATGAGCACTCCCATTCTCCTGCTACCTGATAAGCTGTCCTCTGTCAGTGTCTGGTGTCTAGTGTCTGTTAATACCCTTCAGTTTGTTTGCAAGGCTGGATGCAACTGTAAGCTGATCTGGCTCCTGACTGCAGCAGCACATGGCTTTTACCTCTTTTCCAGCCTAAAAGAAACAGTATTTTGTGGTGTGCTAGCAGTTTGTTTATTTTATTTTATTTTATTGGTTGCTTTAGAAGAATTTCTGACCACAGTAGGTTTTCCCATTTTCTAGGAGCTGCATTGCAGTGGAACAATGGAAGAATGAGAACTGGGGAGAAAATGATAGGCCTACATAAATTAGAAAAGAAATAAACTAAATTGACCGTGAACACAAAAGCAACCATATAAGGTTGGAAGAAAAGCTTATTCACTCATGTGTTCTGTCTCTGACCTGTGCTCAGACCAGAGGAAGCACATGCTCCTGGGGCATCCTCCAATCTAAAAGCTCCTGGCTACCAGTCAGGCTCAGAGACTTCCCATGCTAGAGGTTGCTGCCTCTCTACATCCAGCAACCCTTTTAAGGACTTCCTTCCATGGTTTTGGAAAATTGCTTGTTGAGCCTCTTTATATTTGTCCTACATAAAGCACCTCATGATGGATGAGTTCCACCATTTTACATTGTGAGGAACAACATGTTCTGTTATTTGCTTGTAACATTGCAGTCTGTAAATAAGGACAGAGTGAGGAGTTGCCATTTCTCAGCCTGATGCAAAAGCACAGAAGCACAAAAAGAAAGAAAGAAACAACAAAAACACAGGAAAACCTATTGGACTGTAACAACACCCAGAAGAGAAAACAAAACAAAACAACAAGAACAACAAAAACAGGGACGGAGTGAATTTGGCTATGCCATGGAGCATAACATCCAGTTATAAATGTTCTTGCTAGGCTCAACCCAGGTTAGAGGGGTACAGGGTGTCACGACCTGGTACAGCTAGGTGAGTCACTGACTGCAGGGATATCAGCACTATTGATCAGTCTTACTGCATCTGTGCCTAAAGGTCCTAATTTGCATCTGATCGTCATTTTCCAGGTGCCCTAAACAAACAGTGAAAAGACAGATCAGCTTCTGAGGGCTGGCCTCTGAAATACTAATTGAGCGAGAGCTGGCAGGTACAAGGTGCACAAGGCTATTGATACCCACCAGATTTCTTTTGCTACTTCTAGACTTGCTGGACACCTGAGCTCAGACACCCCAGGTTTTGGGAACACACGTAAGACTGTAACCAGAAAAATTAGAAGTTCTCACTGGTTTCTTAGCCCCTTACAGTGCTTGCTCAGAAGCAGCCACTGCCCTGGGAAGGAGCCAGGCCACCACACCAGCTAGGTGCATGCCTCCTTGAGCTGTCCAGGAGGTGTTCAGTCAAAGCTGAAACTCTTTTTTTATCAACACCAGCCACTCAGAAAGACAGCAAAAGAGGCTTCTGCATTTTAGCCAACATGCTTCCCTGGTGTCATGGTTTTGGCTGGCATAGAGCTATTTTTCTTCACAGAGGCTTGTGTGATGCTGTGTTTTTGGATTTTTGATTAAAACAGTGGTGATGACACACTGCTGGTTGCAGAGCAGTACTTACATTAAGTCAAGGACCTTTCAGCTTCTCATACTGCCCTACCAGTATGGTACTGTCTTTATCTCCACCCGTGAGTTCTCACTCCATTACTTCTCCAATTCTCCCTCCCATCACACCTGGGGAGAGGGAGAGAGCAGCTCTGTGGTGCTGACCAGCCTGCTGGGGCTAAACTACAACACCTGGTTAAGTGCATAAATGGGAGGGTGCCCAGTTCTCTGTCTTTGCTCTTTGCCTTCACTGAAGCTGTTGCCTTACAGTGAAGAAAAGTCAAGCATCTTCCTTTGCAAACTGCAGTGTGTTTTGAAAAATAATGTGTATTTCCTTAGTAATGATGAAAGCATTATATATGTGTGTTCATTGATAGATCAGAATAGGAATAGGTCTGTCACTTTAAAAATCTAGACCCCGTGATAATCCTTACATCTGCTCTTGGACATCAAAATCTACTGTTTGCACAGTACCTTTGTTTATGAAGCAGGGTGCAGAAACACTAATCAATCTAGTAGGAAGCTCTAAAATGTAATGTAAGTCATCTTGAGTCATTTAAGCCTGGTTATGCTCAGAGCTTTTGTTTCCGCACTTGCATAAGTGGTTTCTTTGCTTTTATAGAAGACAAAATATAAGAGATGGTGAAGACATAGTGGCAGGAAGGTGTAATACTAATACTGAAATTTGTGAAACTGGTCATATTGCTCGTTATCACAGCAAATAAGGCCAGATCTGTGCTTTTAAATGTTATTTAAGCTATGGCCTTTATAGACTGATATTGAAGAATCTTACTGTTTGATAAAATAAGGCACAGAATTAGTACTGGTAATTAGTTGTTAATTTTTTCTTCTTTTGTTTGAGACTCTCTTTTAAAAGCTTGAAATAGCATTCTCTGGCTGAAGTAGGCCTGGGCAGCTAGCTGGAAAAGGCGGGACATCTTGATCTATCATAGGAAAATGGTGGGCCAACTCCAACTGTGATAGGAGTTAGAATAGCTCAGGAAGATCATTGAATTTGTTTATAAAGGTGCCAGATAATAAGTGATGAGGAAGTATGCTTACCCTATTTGTTCCTGATGCACGCCACCATCAGAATTTTCTGTTGGCCTGAATGACAGCATACAACTGAGGACTTGCAAATACCTTTCTATAAGGATCTAAGGAATTCAGGAGCTTGACTTAAAATAGATATCTAACGATATGTTTCTCACAAGCACCTAAAATGTGATTTACCACTCATTTATTTATTTTTAAAATAAGCATATTGTACACTTGCTATTCGTATGCAACTGTATTAGCCTTAAAAATGCTTTAACCTAATATTTCTTGAACCTTCTCCCCCTACAGAATGCTTTGATGTGTTGTGGAAAAAAGTTTGCAGCAAGATTTGTGTTTCTACAGTAAGTACACACAAAAGCTGTAGCTTTTCAGATGGAATTCTAGGTCAGAGTTGAAGAACTGCCAAGAGATTTTGCATGCAGAAAGATGTTGTTAGAACAGAGTGCAAATGGCTCAACTTGTTGAAACAAGTCAAAACAACATCATTTATTCCTGGATAATTGCATCAAATCAAGTTTGAGATAAATGCAGTTTTGCTATGGAGAGAGCTAATATAATGTAGCTAAAATAGAATAGGAAAACATACTTCAGGAGCAAAATTAATTCTTAATATAACTACAGTGGAATCAGCAGATGTTACATTGGTGATGAATATGATTCACATTATCATATAGATATATATGAAAATGACCTTTTTTAATGTGTTACTAATCACATAATAAATCAAGTATTAAATGCCATATTTCCTAACGAGTTAGTTGAAGTGTTGTAGCAGCATTTGTCTAAGAGCTTTTTTCTAAGTCTTGGGAGAGTTTCAGCAATGTGGCACACCTGCTTAGCAATCCAGCATTTTCATATGTTAGCACGGGCCATAGCCCACTCTCACATATGCTAAGAAAGACCATAGGAAAGACAGTAGGAAAGCATGTACCAAAGTACCTTTCATTCTGCTTTGGAAGGATTTGTCACGTAGCTGGAAACTGCTTGTTATGGACACTGTACCTTAAGAAAATATTCTGTTATTTTTTCTCAGACATACAGATATTGTTTGGATTATTACAGAGTGAAATGAAATATAAAACAAACAAACAAAAAAAATGATGTCAGTGTTGACAGGAATACATATAAAAAATTTACTCCTGAAGACACACTCACTGATTTCTGACCAAGGGGAACATGATTTATACTAGACAAATTATTTTGAATTTATTATGTCTGCTAATATAACAAACAATAACTTCAAAATACAGCCACAGTGTCCTCAAATTATGTGCTCTGATCAAAATGCATTAACTACGCTTATAGAATTTAGGTTTCCCCTGTGGTTGATATGTTTAAATGGCCTTTCCTTTTTTTTAATATAAATTTGTTTTTGTTCTGTGATTGAGATGATTCTTGAAATAAGCAGAGCCAACTGTGGAAAAATATATTCTCAAATTTTCATCAAAATAAACTATCATTGTTTAAAACTGCTCAAGCTAAAGCACCAATGTTCTTTGTATAGGTCAAGAACGTGAGAGTACATCTAGATCATCAGAAGCTTCCACAGTGATTTTACTGTGTAAAGAGAAAAAGCAATGGGACAAGGTACGTGAAGACCAATAATGTGCCCTCATGTGGGCGCCCTCATGTGGGAGCGGTGCTTGGGGAGAAAAACTTCATTGGCTCTCCAGCTGAAAACAGTTCCAGCTAAACTGTGGTCCAAAAGGCACTCAAGGAGAGAACAAAGCAGTGGCTGGAACTTGCAAAGAGAACTGTCTTAACTTTCAGTTTATCTTGTTCTTACACCTTTTACAGTCTATTTCCTCCTACACACAGCCTGAGGAAGATGCTGAAGTTAACTACAGGATAACATTTGCATAATATAAGGAACTATACAAACAAAACTCTCAACTCTTTGTGTGCTCAGCCTCCAAAACAAGAGGCAGCTAATTTCCTTGATAGAGAGGGAATCTATTTTATGTAATTATTCATTTTTTTTTTTACTAAATGGGTATGCTCATAAAAGACAGTGGTTTACCATAGGTAAAAGGGTGAATAACTTCTTGTTTTATTGCTGTGGGATCACCATAGGGGTCTGCAGGTCAATTGAGAACCCAGGACAATGCAGAAACATGGTTTTCCATGTGTTGGTTTCCAAATAAAGGACAAAAATCTCTAGTTCATGTGGGCTAGACCGAGGCATATAGACAAGGTCACTTCACTATGGGATGCCACAGAGGTTTTCTGCTCAGAAAGACCAAGAGGAGCTACTGCACATGGTTCTTTTTCTTACGTTGGGATTAGGTGCACACACGATGGGATCTATCCGGGCTGGTAATTTTCATTAGAAGCTTGGTATTTATAAAACTGTACAATTGGTGTGTATTAAACTTGCCCCAATTTACTCCCTTGGAACAACAGCTTGAACTATGTGTCTTAAAAAGGCTTTCTTATAGTGTGTGTGAATGTGTGTATATGCCTGACAAATAATAATAATGAAAAAATGCACTAGAACTGAAGGTATTGAAAAGGAATCCCATAAACTGTTTTTACACACAGCAGCTGTGTTTGGTCTCTTTAGCTCTATTTTAATTTCTGACCAGTAGCTTCAAATCTATCAGTGCAAGATTCTTGTTCTTTCAGCTATTCTTTAAAATTCTCCTTCAAGTCTAGGCACCAGCATTTTCTTCTGTTCTCCCCTCTTTCCACATATTTCTGTATCAGACACGTTGTATTTGTTCAGCAAGACAGCTAAAGTCACTGCTTTTAAAGCTTGTACTATGCATTACACTCTCACACTTGACTGTCATTTTAAATAAAACTTTGTTCTTCACATACTCAGAGACGATGAAAGGGACAATTTGGCTGCAAAACTACACAGTTTGGAATCAGATGGAGAGCTCCATGTCTGAGTTTCAATTTACCTTCATCCACCATCTTTTGGGGGTTTCTGGGTCTAGCTGTAATCCGAGCAGCTCATTTTGACAGATTTAGAATGTTTCATACAGTAATTGGAATTTCACTGCTTTAATGTCTTCATTCAAACAGTGTCTCTGATCATGGCACTGGAAAGGAAGTCTTATGCTATACATAGCTTTATGTGAAAAAAGGAGGTTTATATGATTATGGTAATAGTTCATAAAATCTAGCAGACAAAGAATAATTTAGAATTCATTTATTCATAACAGCAGAAGTTAATATTCTTCTTGCCTACAAAAGAGCTTCAGACATTATTAATCTTTTCTCCCAGATTTCTACTATTCTGCAGAACTAGTTTCGTTTGCTTCGATGTTACAGATGCCTTAACTTTTTTTTTTTTTTGTACTTTTTAGTCTCTTCAAAATACTGTTTTTCCTTAAATAAATAATGCTGATTCCATTAAGATGGTATCAAAGTTGTCTTCCAATTTTCCTGCAGATTTATGTAGGAATTTGAATAGAACACTGCATTCTGCTCTCTGTTCTGCACCTAATCATTTTATTGGTATAGAATAAATCACTTCCCTACAACGGAGGATTTAAGCAATTTAGCATATCCCTTCATAATCTGAGAATTTCTTTTTAATGGTCTATCTGCTTGGGGAACAGGGGAATAGTGTGTGTGTGTCTGTTTCTGTATGTTATTCGTATTATTTTATTAAAACACCATTTTTTTCTTTTTCTTTTTTTCTCATCCTTTTATTTTTCCTCTTTTTTTTTTTTTTTTTTTTTTTCCTTCTGGTGATTCTCCTCTATTTCTTCATCTCTGGCCAATCTACGATACTTCAAACCTCCCCAAATGCAATTTTAAGCTGAGCTCATAGCAGGCTGGCAGCAGCCTCAAATACTTAACTAGTTACTTGGGACCATTTCTGTACTCCCTTGGCCTGACTTTGTCGAAACCCTTCCAACTGAAAGCAGAAAAAATTTGGCATGCAGCCACAAGAGAACTGAAAAGCAAAGACCATAGGCACAATGTCAGATTAATCTCTGTGTTAACTTCACTGGAGCACTATGTCTGGAACATATTAATACAATTTTGCTGTGTGATCTGTCAGTTGCATGCTATCATTCTAAAGAGTGGCTCTTTAAAACCTTGTCCTCCAGGTTAAATGAATTTAACAATAGTGAACTGGGATCATAGGAGATGTTTGTCCTTAGAGGTGTCTGTGGTGGAAATCTGCAGCTTTTGGTGCTTGGTCCAATGCTTTTTCGCATTTTTATCGGTGAACTGAAAATACAGGTAAAATTTCTGTTGATAAAATTTGTTGATGACAAAAGGAACTGAGATTCTTCTGGGGAAATATAAGTATAGAGAAGTCAGGCAGAAAATTTCACAACGGCAATCTGGCCATTTGCCTTTTTGCTAATGAGGTGTATTGATAACAGGAATCTCTGGCTGTGTGTGCACGCATATGATATTTTTTATTGTTTTCCCTCAGGAACTGGAACTCAAGGTTAGAGGTAACAAACTTCTTTCACATATATTATTATATAGTATATACAAGTATATTGTTATGACATATGTTAAAATTTGGTGATCTGTGGCGAGCTTTGTGTTCACTTATTCTGCCTACAAAGTGCATATCTGGAGAGGGCTTTGTCCTTTTGCTCAGATAGGAGTTGGAAGAGACCACCTGTTCAACCCTTGAAGACTCTCAGGTATGTGCCCCACCTTCCATGGCAATCTTTGCAGCTTTGGACACTTGTCTAGTCTGAGCTGTTTTTGTTTATGGTTTTGTTGAGCTCATGACTAGGGAGCAATGCCCTAGTAACTTTAAGGGAAGTGACCTTCTGGTTCATTCATTGTCACATTCAGACTAGGAGGAGGAGAAACAAAAAAGCTGTCATCATCACAGCTGAACTGTAATAATTTTGAGTTATAGGGGAAAAAAAGAGGTGAATTCCTGACCTCAGAATTTATGGATGTTTGGCAATTCACTCTAACAAAATATTGCCTTCATTCTGAGGCTGTCAGCTTTACCTAGTCACCTTAGAGAAGGTTTACATTGCTCAGTTAAAATATATATGTGTATATATGTATATATTTAATGCAATTAAAAGGAAAAAAAAAGTTCGTTTCCAAATACATGTTTTGCTATAGAAAAGTCTTTCCAGAATGTAAGAAAAATCCCCACCAACAACATGCACATCTATCCCCTGCCTCCCTGTGGTGATATCTCCTGCCTCATTTCTTTTGTGCTTTCCTTGCACTGGCAGCACTACTGGCATTCCTGCTCAGGCAGCCCCCAAACAGGCCACCTTCAACAAGAAAAAATAAGGCAATTCCTATAGATGATTGGCATTTGCCTAAAAGGCAGAAACAGCCTCCAATGGTTTGGCTGGGGATTATAATGGCATCCTCACTCCCCATTCCCATCTCATTAGCATCTTGTGGCACTTCAAAACCAGCCAGAGGTATGGCTCTGGTGCTACCCTGGTAGGGTGGGATGCCTATATCCCACCCCTGGCAGCAGCAAAGGGTGGCATTGGGTGTTTGTTTGTTTGTTTGTTTGTTTGCTATTTCAGTCTTGCCTGGATCCCCACTGCTAGCAGTGCCCTTTGCACAAAACCTGCCAAGGGGCAAATGAGTTTTCTTCATTAACAGCATAATTGATGAGGAATTATGGACAGCTCAGCAGGAAGAGCAAAGGCCATGAAGATGAGCAAAAGCACTGCATGCACAGCAGTAACCGCAAGGTTTTCCTCCTGGAAGAGGCAGACCTTCACCAAGCGGTGTACTGTGACAGGCAGCAAGACCAGAAAATACATTCCTGGTAATTTGCAGCAATAAAAAAATATTTCTGAAATAAGGTATATTTATACATGGTTCCATGTTGTCTTGAGCCTTACTGATGTCCTGGAAGTCCTAGTCTTTGTTTTCACCTCAGTTTTCTACTTTATTTTTTTGGCATAGAGTGAAAAAAGTGTTTCTCTAAGATTCTGCACATGTGGCGTGTATCATATCTTTCCCCTTTCCCCTCCTGCCCTGGCTTTTTGGAGTCATTGGTTTGCTGGTGACTGCCCGGGCTCATCCCCTAGCCAGGGCCTGATGCTGGTAGCAGATCATCTCCTCAGGGAAGCATGAACAAGGGCTCGCTGTGTTTACTGGTCATAGTGGTAGCCCCCCTTCCCACTACAGGAAGAGTACACGTCCCAGTACAGATGATGTGTGACATGTATGCTGGCTGAAAACCATGCAGCATTTGCTTATTTTCCCAGGGGGCTGAAGGTCTAGTGACCCCCATACCCGCCCCGCAGAACATGGCGTTGCCGCCTGGCCGCGGTGTTCTTGGTGAGGACTATGACACTGGTGCTGAGGTGGACAATCCGCAGGCGAGGCACAGGGCGTGCCTGCCACCTCCAGGGACACAACAGGGACAGTGCCACCACCAGTGCCGCCGCCAGCACCACCGCCAGCACCGCCGCCTCATACAGGTGAGCTGGGCCCAGGCCTCCACAGGGCCTCACCCAAGATTTACATTAAATAGCAGCCTGCAAGCCACTGTGAGACCCAGAGCCCTGGGTGAAGCTCAAGGCTTTAGGAGAGGCCAGGCATTTCAAGAGGATCCAAATCCATCTCACAAGCAGCAGGAGCTGCCTGCTCAAGTTGTAGCAGACTGATTTACAGGCTGCACAATGGCTTTTATTCTCTCAGAGATCCCTAATACCCAGTTGTGGTGGTCTAAGTTAATCAGTAGTAGAAAATTTACAGGGGTCAGGAGGAGGACAGCCTCATTCAGGGAGTTGTTCAGGGGATGAAGTGTGATTGGAAAGATGGGGACAGTTTGGTGACTACTCATAATGTCTGCAACATTTAGGCAATTATCTGGGGCCTGGAAGACAAAACTGGTACTTCTGTCATCAGATAACAGGCAAAGTATAAGTCAGTTTACAAATGCGGGCATTTGTTCTTGGGGCTGTCTAATTGAAACTTGTGTTTCCAAAGGTTCAGAGGCTTTGGATGCCCCATTGCTTCACATGCAGAAGTCATTAACGTGCCCCAAAGCCCCACCTCCACCTCTCCTTTGCCTTCCCTTGGGTCCCAAACTGTCCCTGCCCGGATCCCACCCGTTCTGTGCTGATGCCCGTTGGGTTGCCATGGCAGTCCCATGGCACAGAGATGCCCCTGGCGGCGCCATTTTTACTGCAGAACACCAGGTACAGGTGGGATGTGAGTGCCAGTCGGGCAGCTGCAGGTGATCCTCAGCTCCCTCCCTGCTCCTTCCTCTTCTCCTTCCTTTTCTCCACAGCAGCAAGATGTCTGGGGTAGAAGACGCTTTCCATAAATTCGCAGTATATGGTGACACAGCTGCCAGCGGCAACGAGATGACCGGGAAAAACTTTTCCAAGATGTGCAAAGAGTGTGGGGTGATGGATGGAAAAGCTGTGACCAGCACTGACGTGGACATAGTATTCAACAAAGTCAAGTGAGTGTGGCAGCGAGGGGTGTTGGGCAGCGCTGTTGGGTGGGCAGAGGAGATGGCATGAAGCAACCAGGCTCTCAGACAAGGGGCACCCTGGGGTTTTCCTACCCCATTGCCACCCACCTGCAAGGTAACTTTCCTCTTGGTCTCCCCTGGCTGTAGGACCAAGGGTGCCCGCACCATCACCTTTGCTGAGTTCCAGCAGGCCATGAAGGAGCTCTGTGGTAAGCGCTTCAAGGGCAAATCACCAGAGGAAGCACTGCAGGCTGTGTATGGCCTCATCGAGGGGAAGGAGCCGGGTAGTGCAGGCACCACGGTGAGTAGGAGCTTCCTTGCCCACTCTGCAACTGGAGCTACCATGGGATCACACATCCCAAGGGCTATCCTTGCATGTATCCTTGCCTATTTGTGAGCTCACTCCTAATGCTGGCTGTCTCCTGCTGGTTTCCTTTTTTGCAGAAAGCCACCAAGGTTGGTGGGGTTGAGAGGCTGACGGACACTAGCAAATACACTGGCAGTCACAAGGAGCGCTTCGATGAGAGTGGCAAAGGGAAGGGTCTTGCTGGCCGTGAGGACCTGACTGACAACAGCGGCTACGTTGGTGCCTACAAGGGAGCAGGCACTTACGACAAGACACACTAGGCATGAAACTTCTAGGAAAGCAAGGACTTTCTTCCCCTATTACTTGGGAGGAGAGGCAAATAAATCTCATGCAACTGGCTTTCTGTGTCTGTGCACATCAAATCTGACAGGGTGGGAATGCATGGGGTGGGCACTGGATGATGTTTGTGTGGGGGTGGTTCCCCATCCAGTGGTGCTTTGATTGCTGTGCAGCAGGGCTTGAAAGCACCTCAATCCAAGGACAAGATAACCTTCTGGAGAAAAGTCTACAGGCCAAATAGACCACTGCTATCACATGGCTTCTCATTTCTAATTAAGTGAACGGTAGGTTAGTCTTCAAATATTCACTCATTATTTTTATTATACCCTACCAACACACTTGTATTTTGTTGTTATTTTTGGCCTGGTGAGCAATGCATACTTATCTTTGTATTGCCTCACTGTGTTACATTATACGCTGGCAGTTTCTGGTGGCAGACAGCTCATCAGCAGTACCTTACCATACCTCAAAGAGTTCCACTTATGAGGCACAGGATGCAACAGTGCAACAGGTACTACCCTGGGAGGATGGTAGAGGTCCCAGTAACACCAGTAACACCAGTCCCTGCTTTTTGCTTTTCCCTATTCACCAGGTTAAACCCCCTCACATATTCCTAGCACATGCCTGGGTCACTCATCACTATTTCGCCTGGTTTCAGGGTGCTGGCAGCTGGGAAAGAGTTCATGACCTCAAGGAAGTGAATAAAGTGTGATGACTGACCATGGCCTCCTGTGCTGCCCATGCCCTTCCTGAGAGTTTTGAGGGGATGGAGACCAGGAAGGGGGCAGGAGAGGTATCAAAGGAGAAGCTGAGGTGCTTTCCCGAAGTGTTTGTTCAATTGCTTGTCTTTATTTCTCAGTACCAGAACTGATCATTAAAACTTTACCTTAACTGGCAACAAATAAAATTCTGTGAAATTCAGGCTCGAGTTTTTTTTTTTTTTTTTTTTTTTTTTTTTCAGCCACAACAGGATGAAATGCACAAACTAAGATGGAAAAAATAGCAATGAAATATATGTAAAAAATAAAGGCCATATGCCCACTTTTTAATTGGCTTTTTATAACTCAGATAAAACACATTCAAGGTGGCAGCAACACTGGCATAGTACACCATGTGCTGTACAACAGTTTAAGCAAAGTACATGTAGATTAACAGGTAGCAGGGCATTGTCCACAAAAGAAAAGGTAATGCGCTTATGTAACAATGGAAGAACATTCTCACCTAGCTCTGCTTTTGGTGTTATACCGTTCCTTATTTTAATGCAGTCAGCAGGTAATTGCAACAAGTATTAATATTTCAGAGCTCTGATTGTTGTTCCTGACACTTTGTGTTATTCCTGAAGTGGCTCTACTCAACTCATTGCTCTTGAGATGCTCTGGTGAAAACATGTCTGGGAATCTGCAGGACTGTTTGACAGTGCCCTGGGCCTGTGCCTGGACACAGCTCCTTAACTCCTTTCTCTGGAGGTCCCCTGCTCTTCCTAGGATGGAGGGCTGGTTGGTTTTCTCCCCAGAACATAGCTCTATATGGAGATTACAGCTGGTGTGCGTTATAGTGTTATCCGAGGTATGGGTCTGAGGTTTTCCCAGTACTTTCCACCCTGCAGCCCCATCCCTTACAAAGGCTTATTGTGGGCCACTTACCCATGGTGGGTAGTGGCCCCTTGGTGGCCAAGCAGAAAGGCATACCAGCTCCACCAGATAATGCAGTTTTCAAGCAAAAGATGTAGGCACCAGACATCTCACAGCTGTACCAATGTCCAGGCTTGGTGTGGTGTTTTGTGCCATTCCTTCTTGCCGCATTTTGAGCAGCTCAGGACCTTGTCATTTTGAAGGAAAAGAAGACAAGGACTGTCCTCAAGAACCTTGATTATTTATTTGTTAAGACCCCAGTTTCCTTAAATAATGAATCAAGGAATAGTCCATGTAAAGTTCTGCAAACACAGGGATGTGTTGATGTGTTGTAATATTAGCTTCTTTTCTTCTTCTTTCTTCTTTTTTTCTCTCTCTATATATAGTTGGCACAGAAGAAGCTGTGGGAGCTTGGGGAACAGACTGAGAGCTTTGTACTTGTGTACTGTGAGTTCTGGTTTGCATTAGCTTGGGTACAGTGTGACACTGGAGGGTGAATTTCTGAGACATGATTCAATCTACTTCATCCTGTAATCTAACTTGTGTAGTACTCCAGCACCAACAAGAACCACTGCTTGTCCTGCCTATTCCTTATAAGTAGAAACCACAAAAAGATGAGGAATGCCATGCTCACTCCCTACAGCAGCTGCGGAGTGGACAGACGAAAAGGAAGTTGTGCTCGACTGAGGAGTTCAAAAATAGTACCTGATTACTACATGCCCTGGGGAGGCAGTAATAATAGTGGGTCTGAGATTTTAAAATAAAGACATGCATGTATCAATGGCAGCATCAAAAGCACATCTGCAAGCAGGACAGAACAAAACACAAAACCAAAACCAACACAAAAGAAACAAACAAACACATAGACATAAAGCAGTTTATGCTTTAGTACATTGGGAGCCTGCAAAAATTGAGAAGATTGCCCAGTGCAAGGTGGGGTGGAGGATTCCTCTTACACCACCACCATCTAATACAAAATCTCTGTATCTCTGTTTTCACAAATCTCTGTTTTCACAAATCTCTGTTTTCACAAAAAAAACATTTTGTGTTTACTCTCTTACAGAGGCCATGTTGCCTAGCAAACCAACCATGCCGGGAGAAAGAGGTTAGGAGCCTTCCCCATGGTGGCAGCAGGTGCGCATCACAACCCCTGTGAACATTAGGGGAAAGGCGAGGGTGCCTGCTGGCACTCCTGTTGAACGGAGTGCATGTGTTTAAGCAGTAACGAGAACAACAAGGCTGGTGGAAGCTGCCAGAAGAGCAGTGTAGCTCTACACATGCAAAGTGCTGGATTTGGGGGAAATACTGGGAACGCTGGAAAACTTGCTGAAATAGAACAATGCTGCTAATCTAGGAGATTATACCCAGCTATGGCTAAAATGTGTCATTACTGTGGAAAAAATGGAGAAAGATTGGCTCCAAATTATATGTGGGGGAAAGAAACATTGGACCAAGACATGCTGTCAATTTACAACCACTTTAACACAAAGGCAAAACCAACCAAACAAAAAACCACTAAATCCTGTTATTTGGAAAGCTCAGCAGGTTTGTATCTGTGGTGTGTCTCTGGACATACCCCTCACCCCCAAGACTCCAGTCCTTCCATTCAATGCAGTTTTGTGGCTATCTTAATAGAAATTTGACTCAAGACCAACTTTAGTAGTTCTTTGCTAGCTGGTCATTGCTCCAGGGTACTGGAGCATGTTACCTGTTACACCAGTCAGGTAGAAATTGCTTGATAACATTGATGAAATCTGCACACAAATTAGAACAAGATCTGAAGATATGTCTTTGTGACTGTGCTGCAAGAGCAGAGGCAGTAGGACAGGGAGTTATCTAACACTGGTAGGAAACAGATAAGAAACTACAGATACATGCATGCATGTAATGGTTTTAAAGCAACGTCTTCAAACTACTGAAGACCTCTGCTACCCCTTTTGCCACATGGACATGCAGTAACAGACTTGCTGTTGCTGAAACCAGCACAGTTTTATTTTACAAAGCAGGAATAAGAAAGAACAGGTAGCTTGTGTTAGTGCAGCCACTGGCTGGTGGATGAAGAGTTAAGATGGAGAGTTAATGATCTATGTATCTTTATACTGATCTGATCATCAAGGTAATATTTAAATTCAGAGTTATGAATTTTAATTGAAAACAATGTAATGCTTTCCCTGTCTCCCTCATTTCCTCTGCTTTTTTGGTTCTGCACATCTCCAGGCTAGGGAAGCAGTGGTCAGATTGGTGAAGAGTTAATTATATGCCAAGAAAGCCAGTGTGTATGTGCCTCAATTAACATGAAAGGGGAAGGGGAAGGGGAAGGGGAAGGGGAAGGGGAAGGGGAAGGGGAAGGGGAAGGGGAAGGGGAAGGGGAAGGGGAAGGGGAAGGGGAAGGGGAAGGGGAAGGGAAAAAGGGAAGGGAAGGGAAGGGAAGGGAAGGGAAGGGAAGGGAAGGGAAGGGAAGGGAAGGGAAGGCAAGGCAAGGCAAGGCAAGGCAAGGCAAGGCAAGGCAAGGCAAGGCAAGGCAAGGCAAGGCAAGGCAAGGCAAGGAAAGGAAAGGAAAGGAAAGGAAAGGAAAGGAAAGGAAAGGAAAGGAAAGGAAAGGAAAGGAAAGGAAAGGAAAGGAAAGGAAAGGAAAGGAAAAAGACATTTGGAGGTCATTGCACAGTACCAGTTTGTCTTCTCAGAGCTCTAGAGTTGGACAACTCTCGCTTTCAGTTGGGGTTGCAGTATGTCACTCTGTTGTTTCACTGGAGTTCATGGTGAATTAAAAACCCACAGGAAGATGTACATGCCATAAGCTTGTGTCTTTTTTTTTTTTCCAGCAGTATTATCTAATCTACTGGGAGAATTTTTCTTTCCCTACACACTCTTCCTTTTTGATCATTGCTCATGCCCCACCTTTATTCCTCCCCTCCTTTTCCAGCTCCAAAGCCAGCTGAAACCCCTGGGACAGCTTCACAGGTTGTCTGGGTGCCCCTGTAAGGGTGTTTGAGTCTCAGCCCCCAGCTGCCTGCAGCTGCAGCAGGAAGCACTTGCCTGTTGAGCTTTACCCATCAGCAAGCACAAACACCCCCTGACACCACTGGGCCCACAGGCTGCCCCAGCAGAGAGAGCTGGGGACCAAACATGGTTATGCTATAGCCTTGCATCACACCATGCCAGGCAGTGCTGGGACAGCTCTGGGAAATGGGTAATACAGAGTATGAAGTGGCTCTTTTCCCTCCAAGTCTGGGATCATTTTACCTCTGTTGTTGTTTTTCTTCACTGTGATTGTAAAGAACCATATGGTACTTTAAAAAATAATATATGTGTATATATATACATGTATATATATACATATATATATAATATATATATATACACAGTATATATAGTATATATAACATATATACAATATATATATTTATATGTTTATATATGTGTGTATATATATATATATGTATATATTCTTCTGCATTACTTAAAGGCTGTTTGTACTCACTAAACTTAAAGCTAGTAGTTATAATTGCTGACTGTGTGTCCTGTATTCAGCATAGCCTTTTTCTTCTCTCTCTCTCTCAAAAGTGCAATATCCTTGTGCAGGTTTAGATGCACCCACCCACGTTGGGTGCGTTTCATTCCTTGTCTCTCAGCCAGATGCCACCCTCACTCTGTTCTGTGCAGATGTGGGATATATTCTGTATCGTGCTACCTGGAATTTCCCACCTTTGGTATCAGAGACAAAGGGTCACACGGAGTTTCAGAAGACTTTGCTAATCACCCACAACTAACCATTTATGATATAAATAGTTCATGAACTGTACTCATGTGCAGTACACTCACAGCAAGTGAGTACATTTCACAGCAAGCAGTGAACAGATTAGCGAGTTCCTCTGTGCTGCACAGACTCAGCAAGAACCAGGACGGGATGGAGACCGCCAGAAACGCTCGGACAAGTGCATCAGTCTAAAAGCGTTCAAGTATTGCCACCTTCTGGCAGGGCCATGTCATTGAGCTGCTTAACCACAAAACCAAGCCTCCAGGCCGTTCTCAGATGCTCACTTTATTGAACCTGCAGTTCTGACTGCAATCATTCCAGAAATAAAATGTATGGATATTTTTCATCCTCTGCTTAAATTTCCCGGTTTTTCACAGCGTTTGAATTAGGTGGAGATTGGTGCAGGGTTTTTTATGCAGTTTGGGTTGGTCTGTATGGAAAAAGGTGGATGAACTCCTCCCATTCTCAAAAATAAACATGCATTTGTAGTTTTGAGCCCTAAATTACAAAGCTGTAAACACGGTGTATTTTCCTTCTAAGAAAAGCTGGTTTTACATGTTCTCACCTGCTTCTTCCTCTGCATGTCACTCACACCAGCTCCCCTGCCTCCATGCTGAGGTTTACTACCCCTTAAGCTCTGCTGTGACAATTACTTGTGTGGCTATATTGCCGAATGACATTTCTGTTATGAATCAATCTAAAATTAATACAATATTAATAATAAGCAAATCTACACACACACACACAAAGACAAAGGCCTCTTCATACCAGTGGCTGTTTATAGCACATTCCTACAAATGGGAAGCTGGAAGTACCTGCTTGAGGAGTTGTCTGCCTTTGTTATTATTCAGTCTCAAATTCAGTCACATCCAGCTTTTGCTTTCCTGGAGACTTGTCCTTGCAGCAAAAGCTAAATGAAAAAGTTAAGATCTCTCTGTTATTTCAGAATATCTAAAAGAGTGACCTGCACGTTTAAGGGAGGCTCTGTGCAGACTAATGTGACTTTAAACCCTGCACAGCTGATACCTGTAACGCAGAAATTCTTGGATAGCTTATGTGATGCACTGGCTCCCAGCACCTCTAACTTCCTAGATGCCGCACAGTGTCACTGAAATACAGTATCTTGGGAAGGCTTAGGTGTAATAACAACATACATATTTTGAGGGATTTTCCTGCTAGTCCTGAATAATCCCAAAAGCAGCCTCAGGCCTTAGTGGGTTTATCTGTCCTGTCAGGTACCATTCAGTGTCAATAAGGGCATCTCAGTTTTCTACAACAACCACAGTAATTCAGTAAACACACAAGCTCTGCACATCATCAGCATTTTTCAGAAAGCATTTTAAATCTGAAGGATTCTTGTTAAAACAGCAGATTTTCTAAAACAATGTCTTTAATCTCAGTTTAAAAATCTAATCCAGTTATTTCAAAATACTTCATATCCTTATTGTAAACTTTTATTACAGAACAGTGAAACTAAAAACAATCAAGCAACACCAAAAGAGACATTCACTCAGAAGAGAGGGGAAGAACTATTCCTCCAGTTTTCTAATACTAGGTAAAATTTTAAAAAACATATATACATATATATTTCAGGGAAATAGAGTGCTGTCACTCACTGGCTGTGCAATTGTTTTGATTTGTGCAATTGATTTATGACTGATATCCCCATGAATGTACCAATTGCACATGTAAAGCTGACAGTTTCTTTGCAATAGGGATAATGCTAATAAACAACTATATATAACTACGGGCAACATCTACTCAAGCTGTTCATGTTGAAAAACTGTTTTCTAAAAGTAATAATAAAAAAATTATCTTGGATATAAGTCACGTTTGACTCACATTTGAAACATGGCCTATTGCACTCAGTATCTTGCAGTAGCATGTGCTTTCTGAAGTGTCTAGCACTGGATTCTGCAAAACAAAACTACCAAAAAAAAACTAGGCTTTTTTTTTTTTTTTTTTTTAAATAGACCATAAAATGAGTATAAAGAAACAAACAGTTTTACAGTAAATCCCACATTTTTATAGTCATATTTTATGCAAATTATTTCATGCTTTCTCATTGTAATTGCTCACACAATTTCTTTCCTAGAGAAAAAATATCACTGCATCTCTAAGAATACCCTGTTCAAACAACTAAAAACATATGCTCTAAACAGCTGTATTCAACAAGTATACCTAACTCTAAATCTTATTTTTCATATTCTTCTAAAATCTCTATATCTAGCAGAATCCTGAGATACATGTAAGTGCCTGTAATGTGCCTGCTTGTGGGGAACACACAAGCAGAAATTTTGATTTCTAGTATATTTAAAATGAGATTGGACAAAAAACACATAAAGGTAAAAAATGGGAATAGAAATTTGTTACATAATTTGTAATTATCATTGCTATACTTACACAGTACTGGAAACCCTGCTTGGGCCATTACAAAAAAAAAAAAAAAGGTAAAACAAACACCTTTTCCTGAGATGCTCACTAGCATTAGTAACAGGATAAATAGTAACATTTAGGAGAGGATGAAAGAAAAATGGATATCTTTAAGCATATTTTAAAATATTTTATCTGGGACTGAAACTTAGTTTCAGAGGTTATAAGCTGTGGTAAATTCTCACAAATGCTTTTCAAGAAAGGCTTGAAAAAAAGAAATGGTTGCCACTCAACAAAACATAAGAAGCTTTGGTATATCCAAAGAGGAACATGGAATGTCTAGAGAAGGCTCAGACCACACAAAGGAAAAAGTTGCTGCTCCTTCACCTTTCAGTGCACAGCTGCCTTTTCAGGAACCACACTTACGGACTTCAGGCTAAAACCCAGAGTCATTGTCTAAGGTGCTGATACACTTTGTCCAAAGGTGAGAGCAAGTCCCTGAGTTCCCAGGTTCCACCAAGAAAAAAATAACACCCTGATGGACAGCTGGGCTTCCACATGAGGTGAGAAAAGAGAGGAGTTGTGTACACTTAAAAGTTAAGAGCTGATGATTCCTCTTTACACATTAGAAATTCTCATCTCCCGGTTTCTTGCTGCTTACCTTACTACTGAGAACAGACTTTGGTTATAAAGCAGCTTGGGGGTAAAATCAAGCACACTGTCAGTCAAAATGACTGACACTTTCACAGCATATTTCCTTCACTGTGAGAAGTGTTTATGCTATTCTTCCTTAGGTAGGGGGAAAGCTGTAACAATACTTGTCCATTTAAGAGCTAAGAAAATTATTTACAAGAATTTAAATCCCCATCTGAACTCAAATACAATACAGGAAGAGGGATGAAAGACTTTAAATACTTATACATGACAAAAATGTAAAGCATATAAAGCTGTAAAAAAATTATGGAAGGTAGCAAAAGTCTAAGCATCTGCACTTACATTTGTGCTGCTCACTTTGTGTTCCCAATGTTTTCAACTTTATTTAGGAGCTTGCTATTCTGCAAGCAAGAAAGAAAAGGCAAACCTACACACAGGGCTTAGCTCTGAGCTTTATATGGTAAAAGTGGAAGTACAAAATCCAAGTCACTTGGTTTTGGAAACTGAACTGCTTCTTAGAAGACGTTTGCTGAAGACAAGGCAGCTGCTGTTCTTCATGTTGTTAGTGGGAAATGTCGTAATAGTAGTTACGTAATCTCAGCTCAACTGCAACGAATCCTGGTCGGTCATCAACACTGTGGAAAGATGACAAATATCACTGCAAAGGAAGGAGATAGCTGAAAAGGTACATTGGCCATGCAACACCTTGGACTTCTCAGTGACAGATCCTATAAGCTGCTCACAGTATTTTAAGGCTACCAAAATGTTGCTACCAAACGATAACCAAATGGCAAATGGCAATACATAGTGAATTGTCATGACTGCTACTTTCTGTTGATGAAGGTATTACAAGAAATATATAGTAAATCGGCTCCATTTAATTTTGTACTTTGTTTACTTCAATAGTAAGACGAAAAGAAAATTTACAGGGTATTATCTGCTTCATAACAGGTACTACAGTCATACAGAGCAGCTTAGCACCATTGAGAAAAGCCTAGGCATAAAATACATGGCCATACTGTTTTCATTTCCTCTTTATCTGAACCTCTGCTGATTTGGGAGAATATAATAAAAATAACAAGACATGAGAATTATACTTTACATATTGAGTTACACTGCATGACCTTAGCATTCTTATTATTGATTTTCTTTTCTTTTCCTTTCCAGTGTTAAAGATATTTGAGTACAAACAAATAAAACCCAATAGCCTTGAAAATATGCTTACTAATCACAACGAAAATGATACTGATTTACTCTAAAACTGCCGCAGCATTGTTTGAGACAAACAAAAAGGCATAAATTATTTTATGGCTCCATGTTCTTTCTAGAGTACCAGGTATAATAAAACTACCAAAGAACAAGGTACCTAAAGGTGAAGTACCACACCTCCTGAAATGGAACCCAGAGACCTTTGCTGAAAATATTCTCCACATATTCTCCAGATGGTGAATTGGAAAAGTAAGTAACAATGGACTTTGGATGCTTTTTGGAACCCTTCCTACAGCTAAAGGTATTCAACAAAATAGTTTAAAATGAAAATTGTAAAACATTTGAAATGAAATTTTGCAATATACTGATTTTAAAAAAAAGGAAAAAAAAAAGTATTAGATGGGCTTTCTCCTTCCTTCCTTCCTTCCTTCCTTCCTTCCTTCCTTCCTTCCTTCCTTCCTTCCTTCTTTTTCTCCTCCTTCCTTCTCTCTTCTTCTTTCTCTTTCTCTCTTTCTCTTTTCTCTCTTCTCTCTTTCTTTCTCTCTTTCTCTCTTTCTCTCTTTCTCTCTTTCTCTCTTTCTCTCTCTCTTTCTTCTTTCTTTCTTTCTTTTTTTCTTTCTTTCTTTCTTCTTTCTTTCTTTCTTCTTTCTTTCTTTCTCTCTCTCTTTCTTTCTTTCTTTCTCTCTTTCTTTCTCTCTTCCTTCTGTCCTTCCTTTCTTCCTTCCTTCCTTGTTGTTTTTTTCCCTCTTATCTATATTTCATAATTCTAACTTTTGAAATGTTGCTGGTCAGAAAAAAATGTTTCCTAAACATCAGGTACAACTTGTAAAGATGTTTTGCCTTTCACTAGCAGGAAGTCAATGTGGTATCAAAATTGAAGATATTTAGAAATGAGACAAGAAAAAGTCAAAACAATTAAGAACTGAGGAATAGAGGAATAATTTGATAACATGATTGAATTTTTAGTAGTTTTGGAAATCAAATTGAAACAAAATACAAGCCAGAATGAAACAAAAATGTTTCCTTAATTTCAAATTTTCTTTTGAAAATACACCAGACTGACATTCTGGTGAAATAATTATTTCTGATTATTATTATTATTTATTTTATAATAATTCCAGCAATAAATAGATCACCTGTGCAAAATCAGGTTCTTGTACATTTGATAACTCACATCATTTTTGTTTGAAAGTGTAACTGACTCCTTCCTTTGCATGTTGTTTGCAAGCTAAATGCCAGCTGACATGATATGCTTTGAAATACTCTTATTTTATACTTTCTGGATGTCAACTATGCAGATTAAATTATACTGCTATTAAAGGAGAGAGCATCACATCATACTCACTTGTATGTCCAACACAATTTCATTAAGTTATAGACTTCTGTTGGACAAGCTTCTGGACGTTCCATTCGTTCTCCTCTTTCAATCATCTGTGCGACTTCACCACCTTTCATTCCCTGGAATAGAATTATAGAATTGTTAAGGTTGGAAAAGACCTCCTGGATTATCTGGTCCAACCAATACTACCAATACCAATACTACCAATGTCACCACTAAACCATGTCCCTAAGTACCATGTCCAACCTTTCCTTAAACACCCCCAGGGATGGTGACTCCACCACCTCCCTGGACAACCCATTGCAATGCCTGACTGCTCTTTCTGAGACTACATTTCCCCTAATTTCCAACCTGAAGATGGTGTGCTAAGGCCTTCTTCAACCTGTAACTACAATTCCAGGTAGAATAAGAAAGGCGTTGGTTAAAATCTGCTCTGAATTTTTACAATAAAAGAACTGCCAGATAGAACTACTCACCTTATATGGTTTTTGCCCATAAGAGAAAGCTTCCCACATTAAAACCCCAAAGCTCCAGACATCACTTTTGCTAGAAAACTTGTAGAAATTCATACATTCTGGAGCATACCACTTGACTGGCCACTTTCCATGACTTTGTGCCTAAAATAAGGAATAACAGAAAAGAAAAGAAAAAAGGCAGTCTAGAGACAGTAGTATGTAGTAAACAACACTGTAATTCCTATAAGCCAATTTAACTTAGATTTGCATACATTTGTACCAAGTATTTCTAATGTAGTGGCATTAGAAAAAATATGCAGAAGCTTCTTCAAAACTGTTACAAAATTGTTCTTAATCTTCCAGACTCAAATAACACACTGAAATGAATGCTATGGTAAAGCTAAGCCCAGCTAAAGGACCTGGAGTTATGTTTTCCATGGCATTCAATTTAAGCTCTTTCAAAGATTTTTCAAGTCTACTTTTTGCAGGAGATAAGAGGTATCTACTTAGCTACACTGAGTCTTCTTTTTAGTTTAAATCAATATTTCATTTCAAAGCAGCTGCAAGCTGCAATTTGCTTAAATTATGCCATAACACTGTGTCACAACAATGCAGGTGTCAAACCATACCAGCACAATGCTAGATCTGGTAATATAATCATGCTGTATTTTGTGAAGTTGTAAAAGGAATGGGCCTTTGATACCAGATCTCAAACCTCTGACAAGCTAGGCTAGTGGCAATGATTTAAGGTGCCACTGCCTTTTCTGGCAGCAGTTACTGTTCCCATAGGAAGGTCATCAGAAGGCAGTATGTGCTTGCTCCTTCTCTGCAGTGTTTCATAGTCTGCCTTACTGTTTTTAAGCAACTGTTGAAAGGAAATAGGCAGAAAGAATAAATAATTTTAACTTTAAGAGCAACATATCAGCAAAGATATAGACAGGATTAGAACATTTGTCTCCCAATGATGTTTTTACCTCATTAAACGTGGTAGTTATTTAAGTCTCTTAGCTGTACAAAGATCCATATAAGTTAAAACTAATCTGAACAAACTTTTCCTAGATCAATGATTGCTTACCAACTGTACTCCTCCAACAAAATCCTGCAATACAATTGTGTTAGTCACACAGTGTGCTAGCCTGTATTTTGGTGAAAACCAAAACATGGTGAAAACCACGTACTAAATTCTTACCTGCAACAAAGACTTTTTCCCCCTTTTATGGCAGAAAATGTCTAATTTCTACAGAAAATTTCTACCCTCTAATGACAAATTTACTGATCGTAAATAAAAGAAGCAACTAAGTAAGGGATTATCTTTTCCCTCCCTATTTCTTAACGATCGCTAATTTAAAAAATCCATGACCCACTAGCAGACTATGAAACAATAGATGACACATAGCATTTCTTATTTTCAACTCTCAGAAACAACAGTACTTAATCTGAAAACAATCTCATTAAGATGTGTTAATACACAGCTTTGGTGTCTTGTGTAAACCTTACCTTGTAATAATTTTCATCAGCGCTAAGAGCCTTGGAAAGTCCAAAGTCACTGATTTTGGCATAATGTTGGGTGACTAATAGCACGTTCCTTGCAGCCAGATCCCTATGCACAAAGTTATTCTCCTCCAGGTATTTCATCCCCATGGAAACCTGATGTACCAGCTCTGTTATATTCTTTTCCGTGACATGTCTGGAAATCATAATTGAATCTTTAAGAGTTCATTTTCATGATTTTTCAAGTTCAATTACAAATTCTCCGTATGAACTGCCTCGCATCATACTAGGAATGTGATCCATTTGTGTTTAGCTAAGCTTTAATTAGAACAGGTAGCATAAGAATGTCCTGAACAAGACAATATGTGAACATATCAACAAATGAGCAATTGAAGAACGTCTGAAAATTCTTTAATTTATGCAGAATGCACTATTTTACCAGAAAGGTTTGACAGTCTGGAGACATCTGCAAGATAATTATGTCTAGGTGAAGAGTAACTACAGTAACTAATTATTAGATAAACATGGTTTCAATGTAAAATGTCCCTGAATTTAAAGACAAAAAAAAAGACCTGACTGTTTTTCCCCTTTTGGATAAATGCTATGAAAAGGAATCAAAGTTTACATACCTATTTTTTTGCAAAAATTTGTTCAGTGGCCCAAGTTCAGCCATTTCCATTACTAACATCCAGGCCTCAGCTTCACATATGCCTATCATTCGGACAATATATGGGTTATCCAGTTGCTGCATTACATTTGCTTCTCTCAGTAATTCATCCTTTACAGCTGGATCATTACTCTCATTCTTAAGAATTTTTACAGCCACTGGCTTGGCACCCCTACAAAGAAGAATCCAACTCTGGGATTAGTTGATGAAAAATGTACATAATCTTCAACTGATGCTTCTCTGTACATAGTACAAAATGTGACAAAAGACAGAATTGAACATTAAGACAGAAAAGAAACTGATTGTAATGGGAATAACTCTCTATCAAATGCTCAGAGGACAGCTAAGCAAAAGAAAGAGAATAGAAAGAAAATTAAAAGTAGTTACAAAAGGTCTAAACAAGCTTTGAAATAAATGTACCTTACAATATTATCTTGTCCATTCTGGCTAGCCTCAACTAATAAAGAGACCAGGAAATAGTGGAAAGATTTACTAAAGAGCTCCCAGAAGAAAAACTATAAGGGCCTTTCTCAGCACTGAGGTGTTTTGGGGGTGAGACTAGAACATGCAGCATTGCAAAGCCCCAAGGCAGTGCTCTGACCTACAGAGAAACTAAGCCTGCTCCTGCAACCTACAGCTCATACAAGTGAAAAAGTCACTGATGAGATGGCAGAGCTCAAATGTGAACAAATGCTGTGAAACAAGATTAGCAAATACACAAGCTGGCACCAGAGCCCTTCAAATCCCCTCAGACTGCACTGGAAAATGAAAAATCCTCCTTGGCTCTGAAAATCTCAGTAAAAGAAATGCCTCTGGTTCTGAATGGTGAAAGTGTATACATAATCAGTCCATGCACTTAAACAACATACTGATAACATTTTATTATGAAAATGCATAAACAGTCAGGTGCTCCCACTTCTGCCAGTTTAAACAGGGTCTGTTCCTACTGAAATTGCATGATAAGGGAGGCCACAACATTTTCTGTCTACTTGAAAATCAACACTGCAGCTTCATGAAACAGGTATTTAGAATAATTAGTTTAGGTGAAAATCCATTTGTTCCAGGTAAACTGTGCATGACAGTCTACACAATTTCTCTCAGAAAGACTGCAGTTGTGAAAGAAAAGAATAAGGGGAATGACTGCCCATACATTGTGCGGTGAAAAGGCATGGGACTTCTCACTCTATTTTATCCTGGACAGGAGAGTAAATAGTAATAATGGTCATTTGCCCACTTCACAGACACAAATAAGAGCTAGGAGGTGACTATGTTGCAGCCAAGAGATGTTTGCAAGCTGAAGAAAGTGAGTGCACATGCTTCCATATACAAAGACAGAAACAGTGAATTTTAGGCCAAATTACTTGGGTACAATCTGTCAAGCCAAATGACAAGGTAAGATTACTTCTGCTTAGATAGGCGATAAAGCTTTTATGTATTAAACTTTATGAAAACAGAAATAAATACTTACTTTTTCATCTTATAGAACCCTTTCTTTACAGTACCAAAATTGCCAGAGCCAAGTTCTCCTTCCTCCAGGGTTAACAATTTCCTGTCAAGAGTGACATTTTTTGGTTTCATTTCATCTGGATCAGCGTATGGACTTTCATAGACCTCAGTGTCCATGGGTAAAGCCTCTCTCTGATCACCTGCAGTTCAGTGAATAAACATATCAGAGATTACATGAGACTGTTTTGCTGCCACAGTTTTATATTAACCACATTCTTGTTCAGGATTATCAGCTGCATCTTTGGGCTTGATTTATGAGTGCATTATAACAAAACCACATGCAGTCCAGCCACAGGCACTTTAGAACATCCCAAATTAGAGTGACCTCTACCTGGTGACATGTGCTAGCTGTTGAATAACTGCATAATGTTACTGCCAGGAGGATCCTCGACAGGAGAAGGGTTAAAGATGTGCCTTTCATCTTAGTGCTTTCCATTAGTGCTCAGACAATTCTTCACTCAGAATGCAATATTTAATTACATTTCACAGAAAGCCTTGGCAACAGCTTGGCACTGTGGATTCAGTGGGGCACAATGCTTTCTATGAAGTGTAAGGATGCAGCTTTTAGAGTCAAAGAGATAATAATCCTCCACTTCAACATGCAAAAAAGGGATTACTGTTAAATCACTTCTATTACAGACGCTGACGTCTGGCAGTCTCAGCTACCAGACTTGAGCTATGATAGTAGTAAAACAATACATGACATGGTGTGGAATATAAGTTAGAAAAAAGAAATGTGGGTAGAGGGAAGACCTCTCACATAAGGAAACAGATGTTATTCATAGCATAAATTACTCTGCTTACCTTTCTCTGCTCCCATAAGACCTCTTGTCCTTTGTAGCACATAAGGATTAAAAGCTGCTTGGTCATCAGATGGGGAGCCAATAGGTGGCTGAAGCTGTAGCACACAGATAGAATTATTAAGTTTAGCAATATATATGTAAGTTAAAATCATTTTTTTCCAGAGGATTACGGCATAATGATTGCAAGAGACACATAGGTAAGAATCAGAGAGTAAGAAAAGGATCAAACGAAGCTTATTCATTCTGGAGGCTATTGCTAGAGTATATATGCAGGCCAAATTACACATAAACTGCTAAAGCATAAAAAGTTACTGCAAATATTTCAGAACATTTGATCTGAGAGAATTAACTGGAATGGGTCATGCACAAATCTTACCCTGCAGATATTAAATTTTCATGCTGTCTTCAAATCTGCTATGTAACATTGCAAATCCTAAGGATTTCCCTATAATTTGTCCTTCCTCCCCCTCCAAGCTCTTTCTCACTATACCTTGGCCATAGAGAAGTTCCTAGTACTAATGAAAACAAACAAACAAAAACCCTACCCTGTTTTTCTTGTGGATGTTGTAGAGTGTCTCAACTTGGAAGAAACAAGGGTAAAAAAGAAATAATTTTAATAGGCTCAAATGATTGAACATCGTGGACCAGATACTCTGGGCAAGCCTGTCTGCTCTTTCTGGACTAAGGAGGGAGAAAATTACCAAATTTCTACTACATTTGAAAATCTGATTCAAATATTATTCCTCTGCCTTTGTTGCTTTTGTCAGAAGCATTTCATGGAGCACACAAATGAATCTGGAAAAAACACTGTGCATTCTGGAGCTGCTTGGTTGAAGGATGAATCTCACAAAATAATCTATAGGTTAGTTAAATTTATAACCTGCTTTATGCTGTCTGTGATCAAGGAGACATTACTTTTAAGAACAGGGAATTACAAAAATTATTTCTGTAAATCAGTAATGTTTCTTTCTCAATGTTAAATTTTTACTCTAGTGATGAATGACTTCACTTTCCTAAGAGAGTGTTTCAAAACCAGAAATTCAAAGATCAACAGGAGTTTGCTCAGTTCTAGTAGGAAATAAAGATGCATTGTACTTGCAGAATACTGGATAAATCTATTTTGCAAATATTCAAGTATATCATTATTTTTAATAACTGAAGATTTCAGTGGTGTAAGTTTCTGCCTGAAACAGTTGTGGTTTGCAAGTAAGAAGAAACAGGGAAATGTCTAGGAGTTAATTGGCGTTTTATCACTTGGAAGCAGCTTTTTGACCCAGGATGTACAGTTTATTAAATCATAATGAAGTGATATGCCCGGGTGGATGAAGCAGAAGAGGTTTCTACACAAACTTCATAGCAAACCACAAATAGGAAACAAATGCTCAGCAAGATTCTCACCTAGCAGGATGAGTGTGGTGGCATCAGAGATGGTAAGAGATCTCTGACTTGAGTCATTCAGTCTTGTGGAACGGTGTTGAAAGGCCATTTGCTGTCAGGGTAATCCACATGAGTACTGACACAGCTGTGAGATAGGCCAGGGACAAAACTGACCAGCCAGCTTCAAGAATAAGGAGATGAATGATATAGAACAAGATCCATTCTTTCTCTTCAGTCCTGATTTTGTTTTCCTAACCAGGTAAACCTTGCCAGATCTACATGTTAAGACGTGCACATCCAAGGCCTAAATCACTCGATTTTATACACAGGACATATGCCTTGGTAAAAAAAATAAATCACTAAAAATAAATAAATAAATAAAAAAGAACTAAAATTGGAATTAAATCCTAAATTCAATCCTAAACCCCTCAAGCAATGGGCTGCTAGTTTTGCTGTGAACACAGGATAGCTTTTCCCTACACTATCTCCAGATATATAAGGAAACACTTATGGTCTATCAATGCTATTTTTTTTTCCAAAGAAAAGTCAAATCAGATGGAATTATAGTTACTGAGGACACACTGATTTTAGTTTGTGGATTTAATATATTCTCTATTGCTTCAGAACATGCCAAGACCCCTATTTTGTTTGTTTGTTTTTTAATCTTACTGATAATTACTATGACCCATTCCCTAACACCACTGAGAAGTGGCTCTAGTTCCACTGAGGGGTTTTCTAGATGTGTTCTTGCTTCCGCAGTTAAGTGTACATACAGGGAGATAATCTTACAGCCCAAAAGATAATTGGTAATGGGTAACTCACTGAATGGATACAAAGCAATATAGGCTGACATTAATACCTGTAGTGAGATAGATATATGTACAAAGGAAGCTGTTGCAAATTATTACATCGCATGGGTTTTATGGAAGCGTCCATTTAACACTTCTTGGCCAAGAAGTCCAAAACAAGAGAGTCAAAAAAGGAGAAAAATATGTTGACAAATTTGGAAAGGAGCTCAGATGTTGAATCTTCAGTGGCAGCTTCCAAGATACTGGAAGAAAAGTTCTCAGATACTTTGGAATGATACAATCACAGTCTCAAAATATACCTTTTGCATACTTCATCCTTAAAATAGTCTTTCTGACAGAAATGCAAAGTATTCAGTAAATGACATCTCCAAGACACCACATTGTTCTGGGACTCATGATTTTTGAAAGCTTTAGTAGGACTTATCAATTGTTCTCTGTTCACTCTGAGGAGTACCTTGACAATAAACCTAAAGTGTGATGTGAGTATCTGAACCCAAGCCTTGGAATGTCCCACATCATACCTCTCACTTAAAACACTGAAATCTTTCTGTTGTCACAATTATGTGAAGCACATCTGTAGCTCCAGGCTAATGTAATGAAACATGGTATCCCTGTTTTCTTTCTACAAATGGTCAAGTTCTTGCTAGAGTTTGTGTGATTGCTGTTACATGATGAGGAATATGAATTAAGCCCACATAGAGTACAATATCAGCAAATCTTTCTAGTTTTCACGTGAGTAAAAGGTTTGTGCACCAGTTGTTGTCACTGCAGCTGACGCTTAGGAGAAATGAGATACAAGTGCTTTAAAAAAGGCCTTTAAAGTAATAAACTCAGGTTTTCAAATGGACGTGAACTTTGTGCTGGAAGAAGTGATTCTTGTTTAATATAGCAACATAACGCTGCAGGCAGAAATATAATGATGGTAATTCCGCTGCAATACCTTGTATAAATCTGATAAGTAAGATTTATGTGATTATTGCTGAACTACGGGGCAGAAACACTTAGAAGTTCAGTAGGCTCAGACAGTACTAGACAGCCCCTCAAACTTTAAAAACCTCAGAGGGCACATATTTTCATGTGGTTAGTATTACCTGGGCACTAGAGAAGTAGTTAAATATCCCTGAAAATAGGTCACAGGGTATGAACTGACATACTTTCCACCGGACAAACAAACTGATATACACTATATTCATATGTCTCACAAGAAGCTCTTCACCAGTCCAGAAAACCTGGTAAAAATATACTTTTGACTATGACATAGCTGACTCTTTATGTGAGAGGTAGACAGACATTTCCTTTCCTTTATAGTTCAAGAACAAAACAAAAGAATCAGAGAGGACTGGGTCACCTTGTTTAGAAACTGCATTAAAAAGGAGTGTTTTACTCCTATTCTTGTGAATTAATCTCTGTAGATGACACAGTAACACCAAATCTAACAAAGTTTTGAGTGGATTCTTTCTCAGAAAGATTCTCATGTGAAGATGAGTGATAATGTCTTACATATCATAAGGGCTATCTTAGTTAACTAATACATATGTATGTGTGGAATGATATTCCCCATTGCTGCAGTTCAATTAAATAGCTTAATAATATATATATGTGTATATAATATTTGTTTAAACTGTAATTTGATGCTTCACCTTTTCAGCTCATGTGAGTAATTTGGGAATATTGTGTAGCACTCAGAAAACCTCAAACAGCAGCATTCTCTTCCTTAGTTCTGACAATTATGTATTTGTGACACGTAGCACCCTGCTTGCCTTTGAACAGGATATTCTAACAGAAAGGTTGGAATTTTTCTTTTGCAGTCAAAAGCCACGGTCTAGAAATGGTGCAGGAGGTCTCTATCTTTGCATATATGGTGGCCTGGGTAATAGTACAATAAAAACTGCCTTTTAGTTAACTGTCGTTCAAATCCAGAGTCCTTTCTGTCCTTGCTTTAAAAGCAGCAAGTTTAATTCTGCAGGTCTTCCTGACAAAGGGAGCTTTGTCTTAATACAGCCCATGTATCAAGACAAATAAGCCCATGTATACAGCTAGAGGATTATTCCTTATATTCTTACCAGAACCAGAGAATGGGCAACATAACTATGAACTTGCTCTTACAGTTAAAAAAAATAATATATGAAGACTCTGCTAGAGGAACCCATTAAAAATGGCACATATTATGTGCTACCTTGTTGTACAACGTCTTGTAAACTGTGAGGCTAGATGTCATATCATGCTTTCCTACTAGAATGCTGCTATGACCTTGCCCATTTTTTAACATGAACAGATTTATTTTATTTTATTTTATTTTATTTTATTTTATTTTATTTTATTTTATTTTATTTTAGCTAGGGTTTAATTTCAATTGGTTGAAATTTTCAGATATACACTGTTAATCTAATCTAAATATGTTATTATTTCCCTTATTAGGGACTGACTTTACTGATGTAGCAACCTTGTAGTAATAGAGCCATATCCACAATAAGAGGAAAGTAGGAGGTAGAGAGTTTGATCTGAGTCAAAAGTAACTCTCTAGTAAAACGAATAACACTTTCTGTGTATGGTTAAGGCCTCGCTAGGAAAACCCCTATGTATGTATGACAGCATCCAGTTGCTACACTGAGAATGAGATACATTTACTATTTGCTTTACAATATGAATGAAAAGGCTCCCATTTCTCTGTCTCATTTATATAGTAAAGACTGTTACTTGATAGTAAATATTGTATTTATGCAAGCAATCAATACAGCAAGTATTATTTCTTTTCACGTTAGTAATCCTGATTTGCAATAAACCGAACGTATATACAGGGCCACAAAGACATCTTGCTTTGCTAAACCAACTGCGAAGCAAAATGCTGCATGACAAAGACCATGGTAGCCAACTACTCAATGAGCTTTGACTAAAACTAGGTTACCACTAGGTGGCAGAAGTTCATTTAAATAGTCTAAAATGACAATTTTATGAGTAAAACAGCTGGAAAAAAATTGATCATAGTGCTAAAAATACATCCAAATAACCAGTTTGTGAAATAATAATAATAATAATAATAACAACAACCAACACATTTTGCAAGTCTGAAAAAATATAACGGTGTAAATTTTATGCTTTACTGTCTGACATAAGAGAAGTAGCTGTATGTAAGTAACCAGGTGGAAGGGTGTTAGGTGTGTTAGGTAAGCTCTCTGTGTCGGGGTTAATGGATGGCTAATCTTGGAAATGTTAAAAGCTGGACTTTTTGTTTGTTTGTTTTCTTTAGGGTCTGAATTCGTCAGTATGATGAAATTTGTGCTTAAAAAAAAAGTATGATCTAAAAAAATTTCTGAATTATTTTCCTAAATGATTGCTTTTTCTCTCTATGCTTCAGTTAGTACTCTGTGTGCATTCCCTAGGAAGCAGAATATAGGCGTTTTATTGCAGAAAGCAACCTGACAGAAGCACAGGTTTTATCATGTGAACAGACAGCAGTGAACAAAGCCAAAATATCCCTCTTGTCTAATACGTGATAGTAAGGTAATTTTTTCCAGATAGCTTTAGAAAATGCCCAGATATTATATATATAATTGTGTAAGAGGACAGAGAATAAAAATGAGGCAAGAGTCCTATAATCATTTTGAGGGTGTGCAGCTACTGGTACCTTAATAAAGATGAACTGAAGTTGTATAAAAAAGAGTAATTGTTTTTGTCAGGATTATCGAATATAGTATGTGTCAAACAGCTTTTCTGAACAGCAGTGTATCTCTAGGGCTTTTTGTGCCTGCTCATTTTTGTTCCAGAGCAACCAGTAATAAATAAATAAATAAATAAGTAAACAAATAAAATGAGAGACTCGTGGGTAGAACAGGGACACACATATTATTCTCAGCATGCAAGCCCATAATTAATTACATGCTTCACAACTGCACCAATTACTGGACAGTATCATTTTCTGGCCATGCAGCAACACTTCCATTAGTACTAGACTGTGTTCCCTTTGACACACTGACATCTACTTTCCCATTCTGCTTGGTCTTGCAAAATCTCACACTTTCCTAAACTTCAATGTATAACAAGATTTGTGCACACAAGTTCTGTAGGAATACATTTTGTGATTGCTATTAACAAATTGTTCCCTAAATGTGCTCAGAAATAATCTAGTAAGCAAGCCAATTTTCTAATTAGGAATGGTATTTACTGCTAGAAATATCACTTTGTTCTGCTATAAGTGTTTTCTGAAGTATTTTATCATTTACACTTTATCTGCACACATGTTGAGAACAGTACTAATATTTTGGGATGTGAGAAATGACTTGAAAATAGCCCCCCTCACCCCTCCCCTCCCATTTTATAAAAACTTCTTTAAAGCTATTGCTTTAGTTAAGGCTACAATTATGCAGATGATTACTAAAAAAAGCAGAAGCTTACAAAATCTTCACGATCAGATTGTTAGTAGTCAAGACACACATTCAGTAACAGCAAGCCAACAGGAAAAAGGAAGAGTGAAATTAGTTAAGTGTAAGTCCTTTTAACTCAACCAAAAACCTAAAAAGACTGTATGAGGCACCTTTTTGCTGCCAGCCTTTGGAAAGGTGTACGATTTGAGTCTTGAGATAATTCCACCTCTTGCCCAACTCTAGAAACCACAATGTCAAAGAGGAACAGTAAAAGTGTCAGGAAAATTGCTGAAGGTATTTTACAAAACAGACGTAGTACAAAAGAACATAACCCAGCCTTTCTCTTGTGTGTGCCTGGTTAATTAAAAAAATAAAGCAAGAAATATAGTGTATGAAATCTTAACACTAAATTTTCTTTAGAATGTATTATTTTAAACCAAATTGGATCTGTACATGTATCTTAAAGCAGCATTTAATTCACAGACTGCCCGTTCCCTGGTTGTTTTATACCATGTTTCTTCTGCCTCTGTTATTGAGCTTAAACCCCTCCCAAACATATTAGGTTATATGAATCAGTTGTTAAGTTTAGCGTGTTGAAGGATGACTAATGTGTAAAGCAAAGTTGGAAGCACCCCTTGGTCTTACAACAAACATTATGGTTATTGAAGCAAAAAGCACGCAAATTGACATTAATTCCAGCAAAAATGAACAGGCCTTAAATTTTTCAAGTGCACTTACGTTCTTATAAAGATACCTTTTAAAAATTCAACTATGTTTTAAAAGCAATTAAATGTGACTAGTAAGCATTTCTAGTGGCCACTGAGAGATCATATCTGCCTAATTAAAACTGCAGTACTTATTGAGCAAGCATTTTGCCTGTATCTCAGGTTGAAATAGTAATGTGATCCACATCCTTAGTCACTTAAAATTATTATTTTTTTCTGTTTAGCTCAAAAAATAGTTTTTCTGATGACTGGATCGAAATTATATTTTTTCCAAGCTTATTTGATTATTTGATTTTACATAGAAAGGTATCTTTTGTTTAAAAATTTCAAATATAGCTATGCAGTCCTTCTTCCTGATGGAAGAACAAACTTTCTCAATCCTTGACCCTCTTCATAGCTGTATGAGAATTCAGTAACTGCATATTGAAAAGGCTTATTGAATCTGTTATTTTCTTTTACCTCAAAAAATTCTCTTTCCAATTGTGAATAAAGGAAACCCAAGGCACTCCTTTATTACTTTACAATAAATAAATTCTGTAAGGGTGTAAGTGTTTGCATGTGGTGAATGCAGTACATGTCTACATATTATACTTTTACAATAAGAGTAACTCCCAGCACTTCACCTAGCAGCCATTTGCACTGTCTTTATGGTAATAGTCCTTAACTCAAATGTTTGTATTAGATAGTCAAATATATGCGGATAGTAATTTTAAAACCTAATCAAGGACAGCAACAGTGCTAGCTGGTAGTGAAAATTATTATTTTCACTGCACAAGGATTCAAACCATTGTGCAAAGACAGATGTTAACTGCATACACCAGGTATGAAAATATTTTGCTTTACTCGATAAAGAGAACCTTCATTTTGCTTCTGCCAGCAGTCTCAAAATGGGCAATTTAAACAGAGCAATATCTCTCCTCCAAGTGATGATACAGTCACTAGACAACTTGACCGTTAATGTTCAATGAGGCATTTTGAACATATTGTTCAATGAGACATATATGAAAACACCACGATTTCCACGTATGTTGTGTATATTTGTATTATAAAACAAATTCACAAAATTAAATGCTTAACAGCTCAGTATGAAAATCTGATGAAAACAATAAATATGACAAATGTTAAGCTTATTTGATACGTACTTCTAAAACAATCCCTTAAAAAAATACAGCAACAACATCCAAGTTGTATGATTCCTAGAGTATTATGTGGCTGTAGGGCTTCTTACATGACCTTACTGCTGTATCACCACTTACTCTTACCTTTGAAGGGGTTCCAGGAAGGGGACGAGTGTCAAAAACAACATTATCTGTAAAAGAATCAAATGTAGAAAGATACTGAACAAGGTTAGAAATGTACTACAGTAATAATAATTACAAAAAATAAATACGTAATTACAGAGGGGGGCAACTTTCTAGCTTTTAGATCATATTCCAGCATTTCTCCTGGCCCATCTTCTTGGCTTTTTGCTTTAATGTGGGGCAGTCACACTCTGCTACTTGCTGCTACAGAAACAAAGGTATGTGCACTGCCTTAATGGGAGTGTAAAAAGTAAGGACATATCTGTACACCATGTCCCTGGTTTCCAGTCAGAAAGACAGAAGAGGGGTCCTTAGAGACCCCTCTGGAGACCACTTCTGGAATAGCAAGAATCAGACAAGGATCAGGCAGGATCATCTTTGTCCTGGCAAGCAGTGAAAGAGATGACTAGGTTTCATCCGTGTAAACTCAGATGACATATGGGATTAAAAAAGAAAGAGGCCCAAGAGCGCTTTGGAGGTCAGGATACCCCTAGCCCTCCCAGAAATTAATTCCTGCAGGCACTGTGGCAGTTTAAAGAACCCCCTTTTCAGCATCAGGTGCAGCCAAATGTTTGTACTGCCTGTCTCCTGTGCTCCCCAATATGGGAAGTCGTCGTCTACCAGCAGCTCACCTGTCCCGTTGCACCCAACCAAAAATGCCTGTACCAGAGCTGCTGGCATGCCAGTCTCCACTTGAAGTAAAGGTCACCGGAGGAGGAGTGCCAGGACAACCACGCTGTTATCACGTACGGGCCAAGTACAACAGACTGCCATTTTCATCAGTAAAGTGCATTTTGGATCTGATGTTAATTTTAGAGCTGGGGGTGGTATCATCCCTTAAGGTACAGGATCTGACTCTATCCTGCATGACCTGGCAGATCTTAACTCATTTGAAAAGTTAGAATTTTTTTTTTTTAAATCCAAATTTAAAATTGCATCTACAGAAATCTGCACCCACCCACCCTTAAAGTCAAAAACATGCACGCATTTTTTATCATCTTTAACACAGCTATTTATACATTTCAAAATAATAGGAATAACTCACCACTTTCTAAGCCAAGTCGTGGACAGGGAATGGTAAGAACTCTTAATAATCCATCTGGTTTGTATGAATAATGCTCAACTAACTAACAGAATGAGAGAAAAAAAAAAAAGAGAGAAAGAAGAGCAAGAGAAAAAAAAAAGTAAGAGAGGTATTATTAAATAGATTGTCTGCTTATAATCACATGCATATGTACACTATTTGGTATATGTTATAACAAATGAACTGGGCATACAGCAGAATTTTACTGCATGTACTCATGTCATCTTTACTTCTCTCTATCAGAGGTGTATGTTTCTGAAGCAACTTCCTGGCTGAATCTGGAACCTCACCCAAGAACTGGATTTGTGAAATACAACACTCCACATCTGACTCTGCTATGAACCAGCTTTGTAACTCTGAGCAAATAACTTCTTTTTACACCTCTGACTTCTACCTATTTGTTTTGGTTTTGGTTTGGTTTGTTTGTTTTTGAGTTTTTATTTTAAAGATGGTCAAAACTCTAGGGCAGGAGTTATCTTTCTACATGTATGTAATGCTTTCTTTGGGCTCCAGACTCAGAATGGGATGTAAACAATTAATAAATGTATAGTGCCAATAGTTGTGCACATTTGTGTTCCTGCATTATCCTGTCCATGCCTGTTGCCATTTTATCATAGGTACATGACTGCTATTTTGGCTTTGGTACATTTGGGTAGGAAGGTGGTGGTCTGCAAGTGAAAAATTTACAGAAATTCAAAAAATGTGCAAGTTTTGCAGGTTGCTTTAAATTTCCAGTTATTCAGGGAAAGAAATATGCAGGATATTTACAAGCAAGACTGAGTTAATAAATACAATTAAAGGCACATATCTTAGATTTATGACTGGCTTTATTTGTCTTAATAGTTTTAATCAAGAAGAAAATTCTTCATGGTTTTTACTTCACTTTACCCAGTCATTTCTCCAGTTTTATTCCTTTTTATTAACAGCCATGGCATAGTTAACTAGCCACTCATCATTTGCTTTAGTTTTACCACAGTTCAGACGTATTTTGGAAGTAACCATTAGCAAACTATGTTTATTCAGTCTACAAAGTTGGGAATTTCAATGCTGAAGAATGCAACGTGTGTGCAGCATCCCAAAACAACCTATGTGCTTCCCAGAATTCTGCTTATCATTATTATAAAGGACATAAACCAAAGACCTGGCATAGCTACTATTGAATACGGTAATTTACAAATGCAAATGGTCTTGCATTTTAGAGAATGTTCAGCTAATTGAATAATGATTACAGCAATTTTAAACCCAGTGAGGCTTCAACATCACATTTAAATATGATGAAAATCTCTACACTTACTTAGCTTTTTACACTAACATACCTTTTATCCATGTATGAAAGCCATAAAAAGCTGGAAACTTGACAAATAAACTGCCAAAACATGCTGCTGTTTAGCCAAAGACAGTTGACGCACAGCAAAGTAAAACAAACTGCCTAGCTGGGTTATATTGCAACATGATGACAGATATCCAAGCAATTCAAACTTAACAGACCTGCCAGAGGGTGTCAAATCTTTTTCCATCTGGTATGGAGAGCTTTCCTGTCTTATCTCTGTCAATACGGTAATGCAGTACTTTTCCATCGTTGAGCAGACACAGGGCATAGGAACCATTGCTGTCCCTTTCTCGAATTCTGTAGGAATAAGAGAGATTTTCAGGGTCATTCTTTGCTAGCAATGAGTAACTAGGTTGAAGATGCTTTTTTAAATCACCTTTTCTCAACTTTTTAATTAAAAACAAAGAAAAATCTGTGCTGAAACTTCTGAAGACATTTTGCTAAGCCTTTCATTTATTTCTTAGTGTAATTTGTTTTCAGATAGAATTCCCTAAGTTTCTCTTTTCATCTCGAGTCAACATATGATGACAGAAAATCCACAATGTGGAGCTCTTTGCTAGGCAGCTACAGAACATTGTGCAGTGCACAAAGTGCTCTCTGAGCTAGGAAGCACTTCAAGGCTTGTGCACTGCAGCCCTACCAAAGCCCACAGAAGTCTGAGGACAGGATCCAACATGTATAAGCAGCTACACTTCTATGTCTTCCCCAGCTGACCTAAAATTAAAAACAACAGATAAATACCTCCATTAAAATACGATTTCTCTCATTTATCTTTAATTTTGAAACAGAGATGACAGTGAGGAGAGAAAACAAAATAGAACGTAATATGAAATACGCATAAAAGGAAAATTTTCTTTGTGCACTGAAGCAGTTTCTGGTTTGCCTGGGAAATGAAAATAACTTGTACATTTCTGTTATCATTAATTCTTTTAATTTCTGGAAAGACGTTAATGCTTTCTTGCAGATTTCATGTAAATTTCACATGAAATTTCACACAGTTAACCACTTCACAGTGGTTATAGATCTGCTCTTAATTTCACTAAGGAGAAATCATGGAAAGTAATATAAAATAACTGTCTAACATTCGTGGGTATCCAGCATGATCTCCTGCTTCTAGAATATCTGGAAGCAACAACTGAGATACCTACACTGTGTTACATAGCTGTTTAAATCTTACTCTGGGCTAGCTCACATTGAGAACAATGTCTTCTAGTGACTGGACCAAGAATAGGTAGGAACTTGCTACCAGCTCCATCATAGTTGTCATAGGGTTTCTAAGTTTAGAAAGCAGGTTTTAGTTTGAGATGCCTGTGTTCAATTATTGCTGATAATGAGACAGAGGTGGAGTTAGCTGAAAATTTTCTGCAATATATATATTTTTCCTCTATGAAAAGCACAGATCAGGCAACACAGACATTTTATGTTCCAGTGTGCACAGAAAGGTACTCTCCATTGAGTTTGCCTCCTTTTCTCCCCACTGTACTGACAGCATATGATGCTGATGAACCAGGGCCTTAAGAGCCATTGCAAGCTAGGGAGCAACCCATCTGACCACTTCTTTCCTAGATCTGTGTGGAGAACTGAGCTGCTCAGTAAATGTTTAAAGTTCCCAAATCAAAGATGCCTGGATTTGAATGTCCCCCAAGAAAATGTTCAAAGTGATACCAGTTAATTCTGTTTTGTGTGAAAGGGATAAAATATGTACTCTGAGAGAAGGGCAAGATGACCCAAGCCTTGGAGGTGTCTAAAGGATGATTAGCTGAGGAACTGCTAATCAGGAAGACCATTATGTTGCCATTGTTGATAGAAACATCCTTCTGTATGCCCTTGAGTACATCACCAATCAACATAATGTGGATAGTTGGCTGAAAAACAAAGATTAAGAGTATTCTAATGTGAACTACTTGTGAACTATCCGTGAACTATCCTTATTAACAAAAATCATGCCCCTAGCCTGGGAGACCCCAGCCCAACAAGGGACACTTCTCTGAGGATGCACAGAGTGATTCTGTTGTGTCAGCAGCATGAGAGCTCTGTAACCAACCTGAGGCTAGGGGCTCGTACAAACGTGTAAATATAGTGATAAGGGATTGTACAAAGAGTTGCACGGGAAGTCCTGAGGTGCACCAGCTTTGTGGGAAACCACCTGGTAACCAAACAGACTTGCACAATTCTGAGAAAAGCAATAACTCAACGTCGTGTATGAATTGGCTTATTGCACACCAGACAATGAATCCCAGCTGTTTATCAGACAACAGAACTGCCGCTCATAAAGACTTAAGAAGAGGGTTTTCAAAACTCCTTTTTTTTTTTTTTTTTTTTGGCAAGAGGAAAGACTTCTGGGGCCAACTGTATCTGCCAAACAGTTCTCAGAGATTGCACATTGAAATGGACATTACCTGTGAGCATTTACACCAGCAGTTATCACCTAGAGAAAACAGCACTACTTCATACCAAATAATGTGGGTAACTACGACAAGGTTACAATATACTCAGTAATTTTTCAAAAACCCTGAAAAAATACCGCAGAACACCCTTGCTAAAGTGCTGGGAGGCATTGCAGATGCAATGTTACTACTTGCAGTCACATCTCCAGAGACTGCAGTGGCAAGCATTAAATTCTGCTCCTCATTAACTCACTCAACTCCGAACTACAACTGTGTTTTACTTCAACTACTCATGCAACTATTTTTCATGCAGAGTGCTTCTTGTTGCCGAAGATGTGAACAGGACACCGGCTAAAGGAAAAGGGAAGTAGAGATGTTTTTTTTTTCTAAAACCAAAGTAGCTTTCATACTGTCTCTAAAGTAACTTGAAACACATCGTGGTTTTTCATGACATGCAGGTATTTTCTCAGCATGCTGATTTCCTGTGCTGACTGACCAGTGGAGAGCAAAGAATGCTTTGTCTTCCTCTTCCTCTGACTTGCTCTTAGCAAGTTCATCTACAATGGAACCTAAAATTTGATCTCCTGATAAGGCTATTGTGGTGTGCTGCACAGTGAGAAAACACCTTATCAAGCAGGACTGAATCACAGGCATATATTTTGCTCACAGCAAAATACGGGATGCTGCTCCTCAACTCTACTTTGCTTCTAAAGCTTTGCTGTAAAACCGCACCTGCTATGGTTCTCGGTGCAGCTATTTTGGTCAGGATTCACATCTTTTCCTGACCTCTCTGACCCACTCTGCTGCTGGAACACATAGCACAGAGACAGCCTTGAGAAGCCATGGTCCTGCTGCTGTGGTCTGCAAGCGGCACCTACCTACGTACCTAACTGAAAATAAATCCAAAGACAGCTTCTGTGAGGGGGAATAAATCTCCTCCAAAGTGGGTTCTGTGAAGGGGAATTAATTACTTCCAGAAGCATTGTTAACAGTCTAATAATAAATAGTAATGATAAATACTTTGTCATTTATCTTGTAAAATTGTCATGGCCATCTAAGCCTAGCAACTGCTTGACATCTTGAAGAGGAACGTCATCATTAATTAATGTCCCTGAATTAAGGTTATGTTTACTAGGATTATTTTCATTTTGTCTGATGTCAACAATGTCCAGGTCTATTTATGAATACAAACATAATAAGGGTAGTTGAATATTAAAGAATACTCCGTAAGGTTGGATAAATGGTGCACCTAACTAGGTATGCAGTCTTGTAGTGTCAAATGCCTAGAGGTGGACAGTAAGAGTAATGCAAATATAGGCAGTTACATGTATTTTTTGACAGCTACAGTTTTTTGGTCAGACAAAAGACAAGTAAACTCTTACAAACAACTGCACTTCAGATCTTATTATTTCAAAATGGCGTTACTGGTGTTAACTATTGTGACATACAAGAGGCAGCTTGGTCCCTAGAAGTCAAGAGATGCCATTATGAGTGGTGTTGTGAGCCAATTTATCAGTCTTGTACATTTTAATATATTTAATTGCATATTAAAGACATCTGATTTATTTATTTATTTTTTACTTAATTTTTCACATTTTATGTGAACTACATAAAAAGGTATATGGAGCCTAAACTGCTAATTGTGCAATGCCTTCAACCAGACTTTCCTTAAAGTTGACCTTTTAAGTTTAACAGTATTTCTGAATTATTGTTTATTTTCCTTCAGCTTCAGATTTCCTTCAGCTTCAGAATTTCTGTTTTTTAGCACGTATACAAGATCACACATTTATATAGCTGACGTGGTCACCACCAATGACAAAGTAAGATGTGCCAAGAGCTATCACGTACTTAATAGAATCGTTTCCTGTGTGAAACTGCGGAGAAAGTATTTTTAATACCGCTGGTCTGTCACCATTAGCAAATATTTAGTTTATTTTTCAACTGGTCCATGCATGCATGAGCTCACATAGATAATACTACTAACAACAATAACAACGCATTATTAAATCACATTAAGTATGTGATGTTATTAATAATAATATTAACTATGATCATCTAGATAACACTGATTGCCATATTCTATAATTATGTTATCTACCAGGGAAAGTTCAATGAAAAACTAATTCTTTACAGAACTCTGGTAAGAAACAAAGTCCTATATGGCATGAAAAATAATAATGAAACAGATGGAGTCTTTAAACAATTTAAATCCTTTGTTTTCAGTTGCTCTTTGGATCATCTTACAGATGTCATATTTTCCTTCTTTTCTGCCGCTATAGTTTTTCCTCCAAATGTTGTGGCTAGAGTGGCAATCTTTTCCATGAATGTTTTTTCCAGAAGTGGATGCTGATTCCTATTTCTTGTCATGACATTGTTTCTACATTTGGCTTTGAAAACAAACTCTACAGCACCCACATACATTCTTATTTCCCTAGCTTTTCTGTCCTGACAAAACCTTAAAAAGACCTTTGAAAACACCTTAGTGAAACATTGCTCCCACATAACTCTTCCAGCAGCTTGTATGAGGGACAGTACTAAATTTCTGACGCTATTCAGAATGTTTTGCAATGAAATCAGAAATCTTTTCAACTATTTCCATAGTTATTGTACACAAACATATGTAGCTCTGATAATCTTGTAGTGATGCAATAAACTGGTAAAGAAAGCTAAGCATTACATGTGGTCTCACAGAGACCCCTGTACTCAATTTTGTTTCAAGCTAGGTCAGACATCAGATTTCTAGTGTAATTACATTTTTAGTGACCCTTGAAAAAGAATATAAAGAAATATTGTAACCTGCTAAAATTTATTATCTTTCCTGTAATAAACAAGATTGTGTTTGTCATATACCAGCACTTAATTCAGATCTGCTTATGCAGTTGATCAATACCTCTGGAGTTCATCTTTTCC